CTATATTTGTGTATATTTATAAGTACAAATACGTTAGTTACAGAGTGTATACTATTATTTGTTACAAAAATCCTATGGGCCCTTGTAAAAAGTAGTGCACTATATAGGGAATAGGGTGCCATTTGGGACACAGTCTGTGTGTTATCTGATCCATATGAGATGTGAATAATATTAACGCTGGCCACTTCCAGCCATAGTGCCAGCACCCAAGCAGCCTTGTGAGAGGAGCTGAGAGACTAAATTGTTACTGTGGCACTGTAGAGACACAACACTGTAGACTAGGGGCCTTTAATGATACCCAACCAGCAGACTCATTGTTTGTTATTGAGTTACAGTAATGCTCAAAGAATATAACTGTGCCATTACAGCTCAAAGCCAAGATAATGGAGATAAATCTGTCACATTGAGGTGTGATCATCACATTTGTGATGCTTGGTTGCTTGACAATAATTGCTATCTCTATTTTTCATTTTTGCCATGTCATTGCAGACACTGGCATTGACTGGTTCATTGGCTACAAAGAAGACTCATATGCATTCAGCCTTCTGTGGCAACCTCTTAAGCAAGGCAAACGATCATCCAAGTAGATAAGATGGTAAATGTTAAAATGATTTGTTAGTTAACATGTGAAAGAGATCTGTAAGGCCATCCATCTTGTCTCTATGTGTGAGTACAAGGCAGGCAACAGCACATTCACATTCTCTGCCTCCGACTGTGCTTACGTTGCCCGACAATTTCTGCTAATTATGTCTAATTGTGCTTTCATTAAATAAACTCCAGGTGGTGTATGTGTCGTCTAACGGCACAAACTCATTCAGAACGCCTCTTAGAACGCCTCACGCCCACGCAAGGCCGTCTTTCTAGGGAGACAAAATGCCATTCACTCCATCACCATCAAAAAGGCTAAATGATGTGTGTTTGATGTGGATGGATGTGTTTGATGCAGAGTAGCTTGCTCGTGGCTTGTCGTGGCTAAACAAACAAACACACACACACTAACGACTGCTACACGCCACTCAGAGAGCCATTTAGTCAGGTCAAGCGGTTGTCATGATGTGTCCTTGAAGCTTCTATTCAGTTGCATGCTTTACTGTAACTCACGACACGAAACATATTACTGTGTGTTTGTGTTTCATGCAGCATTTGAATGTTCTATTCAGTTCCATGCTTTACTGAACTGGAACTCATAACAGAATGGAAAGCAGACACGAAACAGATAGAAAAAATACATGCATTGGCTGTAACAGCCTTCTTAGAAAGACATATTCCTGCACACCTCCAATAGGCATGAGGAATAGAAACATGTACATCTTTGCATTACCATAGATATGTCTGCTGGACTGTGTCACTCATAGCACAGTTAGATTACCTGGTTGTGCAGCCCAGCCTCAGTGTGTCGTATCATGAGAGCCAGGCAGGCTGGTGCGATGGGGCCGTTGGTCATACATACTGTACCAGTCTACTAGTCTACCAGTACAAGGTACCAGTGTACTCAACCTGCTCTGAGTCACTCTCAGAGCCACAGTCACCTGGTTGTGCAGCCAAGCCTCATTCCATTGTATTGGGAGAGACAGCAAGGCTGGTGTGAGGGGGCCACTGGTCACACAGTACCAGTCTAGTCAGCCTGCTCCGAGTCACTCCCATATTTCTGCTGTGCTTCCTGGTACCTGGTATCTTGGACAGAAATAGAGTCCTTCTCCCTTCCCCCGCTCTCTTGGTATGTGACTTTAACAAATTACTTAAATCCCACGAGAGAAGAGCTAAAACTGATGGCCTCTGAATCTTAACCAATCCCTGAAAACCTCTCATCACATCTTCTCCAACCAGCCCTGAGGCATCTTGTGCCGAGCAGCGAGCAGTGAGAGCATCATCTTCTGTTTGGGGAGAACTTTGTCATCTCTCTAAACTGATATGCTCCGTTTCACCATTGTTTAAAATAATAACGCAGCATATCAATCTGGATTCCAGGATAGTCATCTAGAGGGAACAGTGGAGAATGCGGTGCTGCCATTGCCATGGGTTGGTTCTTATGAGGGTGTGTCCCAAATGGCACCTTTGTCCCTACATAGTGCAGTACTTTAGACCAGAGCCTTATGTGGTCAAAAGTAGTGCACTATACTTTATAGGGAATAGGGTGCAATTTGGGATGCAGACGAGGAAAGGCTGGCTTTCTGTCATAACATCCTTTTCCATATGAGTCAGTCAGTCAAAACGCTTTCCATCAGCATATCAAAACGGTTGAAAGAATATATTCCAGAGAGAAGAGCAGCCAATAAAAGGAGGTCTTTAAATGGGGAAATCCGTGATTGGTACATCCATTTTTGGACTATTAAGGCCAGGCACCACACCGTAATAGAGATGTATTTTTCTTAATCATATCACAATCAACTTTTATAAGTTGAATGTAGACACAAATAAATACATTGTATAACAATATTTCTGAAATATTGTATCAAAATATGCAAATAAGTGATATTTCATTTAATATGCACATATTTGCATATCACGCAAATACATTTTTCAGGACACTGGATTAAGTCACCCTAAATATTTTGGCTTCATTATGTTAAGACGCTCCAGGACAGGACTTACTCGGAGCAGATTGGGGATAAACACTTTTTTTTATCTTTCTATCTGTAAAATACTAAAGCCATGTTCGTTAAATGAATTTTTGGCACTTTTCTTAACATAATGTTATCTAGACCTTTTTAGTTTATTTTTTCTTAACATATCAACAATTCTCTCTGTCTGAGACTCAAGAATATATCTAAGGATAATCACACAACATTTGGTGAAAGCAGATGCTTCTGAAGCTGAGGAAAATGAGTTACTTTTGGTAAATGGCAGTTAAAGACAAGTACACTGAATTTAGATTGCCAAACACCAAACACATATTTAGACCCAATCACCATCTCTTTGAAGTAAGTTACTATATATAGCCCAGTTTGTTACATTCTCTATGAAATGGGCTTTTAAATTATGTGTAATTCAAAATAGTGAGCTTTGAAATTATGGATGTCTGACTATTTTAAAGTGGTTAAAATTCATGAAATGTTGATGACGCCAGTACGATAAACTAAATAAAATATACATTTTCATCAAGATTTAGAAATGTTTATGTTTGCTTTTTGAAAATAATAATATTAATGCATCAAAATACCAACAAATCTCAAAATTGATAGGTATATGAAAAAATGTAACTTCAGCCTGTGGTGCCTGGCCTTAAATTAATGATATACAGCTGTTGTTGTTTTTCCCCTTTAACAGAAAAGCATCCATCATAAAAAATTAAGGTGCTTTCTGCCTACTGAAAATGATCCTACATCCTGCAACGCAAATACATTTATTTACTGCTCATAATTCATCAGACAAACATTTTTTTGCATCTGTCATATTGAACACTGTGGTAAAAAGGACTATTGCTCCTGTTATATTGAACACTGTGGTAAAAAGGCCTATTGCTCCTGTCATATTGAACACTGTGGTAAAAAGGCCTATTGCTTCTGTCATATTGAAAACTGTGTAAAAGGGCCTATTGCTCCTGTCATATTGAACACTGTGGTAAAAAGGACTATGCCCTGGTCATTGAACACTGTTATAGCCTCCTGATGAACACTGTGGTAAAAAGGCTTAATGCTCCTGTCATATTGAACACTGTGGTAAAAAGGCCTATTGCTTCTGTCATATTGAACACTGTGGTAAAAAGGCCTATTGCTTCTGTCATATTGAAAACTGTGGTAAAAAGGCCTATTGCTCCTGTCATATTGAACACTGTGGTAAAAAGGACTATTGCTCCTGTTATATTGAACACTGTGGTAAAAAGGCTTAATGCTCCTGTCATATTGAACACTGTGGTAAAAAGGCCTATTGCTTCTGTCATATTGAACACTGTGGTAAAAAGGCCTATTGCTTCTGTCATATTGAACACTGTGGTAAAAAGGCCTATTGCTTCTGTCATATTGAACACTGTGGTAAAAAGGTCTATTGCTTCTGTCATATTGAACACTGTGGTAAAAAGGCCTATTGCTCCTGTCATATTGAACACTGTGGTAAAAAGGCCTATTGCTTCTGTCATATTGAACACTGTGGTAAAAAGGCCTATTGCTTCTGTCATATTGAACACTGTGGGTAAAAAGGCCTATTGCTCCTGTCATATTGAACACTGTGGTAAAAAGGCCTATTGCTCCTGTCATATTGAACACTGTGGTAAAAAGGCCTATTGCTTTCCTGTCATATTGAACACTGTGGTAAAAAGGCCTATTGCTCTGTCATATTGAACACTGTGGTAAAAAGGCCTATTGCTTCTGTCATATTGAACACTGTGGTAAAAAGGCCTATTGCTCCTGTCATATTGAACACTGTGGTAAAAAGGCCTATTGCTTCTGTCATATTGAACACTGTGGTAAAAAGGCCTATTGCTCCTGTCATATTGAACACTGTGGTAAAAAGGCCTATTGCTTCTGTCATATTGAACACTGTGGTAAAAAGGCCTATTGCTTCTGTCATATTGAACACTGTGGTAAAAAGGCCTATTGCTCCTGTCATATTGAACACTGTGGTAAAAAGGCCTATTGCTTCCTGTCATATTGAACACTGTGGTAAAAAGGCCTATTGCTTCCTGTCATATTGAACACTGTGGGTAAAAAGGGCCTTTTTGACAGTTAAAGGCTATTGCTCTGTCATATTGAACACTGTGGCAAAAAGGCCTATTGCTTCTGTCATATTGAACACTGTGGTAAAAAGGCCTATTGCTCCTGTCATATTGAACACTGTGGTAAAAAGGCCTATTGCTCCTGTCATATTGAACACTGTGGTAAAAAGGCCTATTGCTTCTGTCATATTGAACACTGTGGTAAAAAGGCCTATTGCTTCTGTCATATTGAACACTGTGGTAAAAAGGCCTATTGCTCCTGTCATATTAAACAATGTGGTAAAAAGGACTATTGCGTCAGTGGTCAGCAGAAAAAAAGCTATTCTGCTGCTTGTGAGCAGTGATGTTTTCACTGCTGTGACAAGATGGTAACTGGAATAGAGAGATTTAGTATGCTAAAATGGCCCGCCTCTGATTCCTCTGTTTATGTGTGCATCCGTGCATCTGTGCATCTGTGTGTGTGTGTGTGTGTGTGTGTTTGTATGTGTGTGTGTATGTTTGTGTGTGTGTATGTGTGTGTGTGTGTGTGTGTGTGTTTGTGTGTGTGTGTGTGTGTGTGTGTGTGTTTGTGTGTGAAAAATCAAAGTAAACTTCAATGCTATTTGGCTCTAAAAACACAGTCCATGGTGGCAGACCATCTAGCCACCGTGACTGAGAGAAATCTGAGAGAAACTCAGTAAGCACAGCCTGGCCATAGAAACCGGCCATCATAGACAAACCTGGCTGCCCAGAGAGGACAGGCTGTGCTCACTCTGCCCTCAGAGAGAGGTCGAGACAGAGCTGCATTTTCTCCTACACTGCCAGAACTATGCAGACTTACGGGCAATTTTCCTTCCCAAAATTGAAAACAAATGCAACAATTTTGAAACCAAAACAGAAAGGGAGAAAATCCAATATCTATTGGGAGAAAAAACATATTTGTGTGTGGTTTGTGGTCCCGTGTAGCTCAGTTGGTAGAGCATGGCGCTTGCAACGCCAGGATTGTGGGTTCGATTCCCACGGGGGGCCAGTATGAATTTTTTTTTATGCACTCACTAACTGTAAGTCGCTCTGGATAAGAGCCTCTGCTAAATGACTAAAATGTAAAATGTAATATTAGCTGCTAAATATGTAGCTTCTTGCCACACCTGTAGAGACAGCCTGTGGAACGACCAACCAGAGCAATAAGATTGCTAACTGAGTCTTTATCACTAGTTCATTATTGTCCTAGTTCATTTCTTACTGTTGGGATAACAACCACTAAAGCTGCAATTTTTAACTTTTTGGGAGACTCGACCAAATTCACATAGAAATGTGTGTTATAGATCTATAATTTTAATTGAAAGCAAGTCTAAGAAGCGGTAGATCTGTTCTATGTGAGCTATTTCTATGCCTCCCGTTCTGAAGTTTTGTTTTTGCGTCTTTTACTTTTGGTTTTGTACACCAGCTTCAAACAGCTGAAAATACAATATTTTTGGTTATAGAAAATATATTTCACAGCTGTTTAGATGGTACAATGATTCTCTACACTATTCTTGCTTGTTTTGTCACATAAACTGAAATTAGGCAAACTATTAGAATTTTAGCAACCAGGAAATGGCGGAATGATTTCTGCGTAGTGCATCTTTAAAATGTTATACAACATAAATGACGAAGAAAATAGTAAGATGATACCTTCTTCTTTCAGGCAGAAATTAAGCCGTTTCAACAATTAATTGGTTTCTGAAGGCCACGTGCATTTTATCGAAATGGGAGAGAATGAGATCATTCACTTAACTGTGGTTGCTAATGCATTAAATGATGAGGAAATGTAAATGTATCTGAGCTCTAGCTCCGAATGCTTCCTGTGATCAGACTTTTAATCAAGCTCCTGGAAGAAGAATATATTAGCACTACTATCTGCTCTCTGAGTCTCAGCGTTCCCATGAGTGTTGTAAAAGTGAAGCAGCACTGCGGGAGGAGAGTTATGTCCGACACAAGCACACTGGTGTCCACCATTGTCCTTTAGCAATCTCAACATGTCACTCCTCATACGGAAGAGATCGAAGCGCTAGCTCTCTAGGGGCCGGGCTATAAGACGGATAGGCCTGTGATTTACCAGCTTTGGGTTTGTGCTATCTCCCTCTTGAACATAAGTGTCAGGTGCATGTTATCTTATATTACTTCACCTGATGGAGACCTGATGAAGGCTGTTTCAGCCAAAAGACAAGAACAGGAAGAGCCTGTTTGAAAGTAAAACAGGCCTTCTATTCAAGGTGTAAAACCTAGTCCCGTATCCACAAAGTGTCTCAGAGTAAGAGAGCTGATCGAGGATCAGTTCGACCTCTGCCCATGCATTATCATCTAAAAGGAAAACCTGATCTTAAGTCAGCACTCCTACATTGTTATTGATTATTGCATTGTTGGGTTTTGAGTTTGCAAGAAAGGCATTTCACTGTACTTGTGCATGTGACATTAAAACTAGAAACTTGAGATGCTTGAAAAATATAGTTGGTCTGTAAAACCTGGTTGTGATTCTATAAACCCATATTGATCTGTGACCTTGCTACTGTGTGAGAGGAAGGAGGCAGGAGACTTTCCACTGTAGCTGTACAGCTGCAGGCATAGCCTAAAGAACCATAACAAACGCTGCACTGTTCTTGGCCTTGATTGTGTTTTGTTTACCCGGCAGGCAAAACTGTCTGCAATGACATTAGTCTCTGGTTGTGATGACATCATGATGACGTCATTGTAACCAGTCAGTTTTGCCCGCTGGGAAAGAGTAACAGTGATGTACACACACATAGATGCGTCAGAAATAGTAGCCTATGGACCCTCGTCAAAAGCAGTGCAGGGAATAGGGAACGATTTCGGACGCAACCATATTTCACAGTGATGCGTACACACACACCCTCCCTCTACTAACGCCTGTTCTTACCTGGCAGGCGTTGTAGAGCAGCTGGTGCTCAAATTTCTTGATACCCAGAATGTTCTGGAACATCTCGTAGAGCTGGTCCTTGCTGAGGATGAGCTCTGAGGCTGCGCTGGCCGTCATGCGCTGCTGGGCCTTGCGTGGGTCCTCGTCCCCGCGGTAGATGGTGTCGAACTTGGCCATCCAGGAGCTGAGCACTGTCTCCTTGCTCAGGCCGTCGATCTCAGGCAGGCTGCGGACACGCTTCTCGATGTGCCTCTTGAACACCTCCCTGCAGTCATTGGCTGAGAATCCCCCGCTCTGGACCATCTTGGCAACGCGGTCACTCTTCAGGAACACCTGCGGTCACAGAGAGACATGTGGAAAGGATTGATACCCGCACACTGTTGAAAACATCCAGAAGAAATCCAAAACAGAGGTTTAGATGCAAATATTATAATTATTAGGACAGATGCCCCAAAATGTGCACAGCGCAATAATAAATAAAAGTGAAAAGATAAACATTTTGGTTGACTTAACCAATCATCAGTGTGATAAAGGGCACACACCCCTGGCTCATATACATTTTGATTACATCACATAATCAAAGCTAGATAAATGCAAGCAGAGCATCTTAAATTATAATGCCACAGAGAGAGAGAGCATTGTGATGTCAATGACTGTCACGTAACACAGTAGAGACAGATAGGGTCAAACTGCTGTTGCAGCTACAGATAATAATAGGTCTACCTTTAATTTATATAGTGCTTTTCATTACAATGAATACCAAAGCACTAAAGGTGGCTAAGCGACATAAAAGAAAAGCATATTTCCATGTTTGCACTTGGAGGCACTTGGAATGCAAACAACAGACAGTGGAGATATGAAAACACATAAACCAGGTTTGCTGAGATAATATCATTTATAATAACATACCTGAAACATTTACACTGCTACTGTAAGAGACTATCTAATTACCGAAACTAAATGAAGAATCTCCTTGTATGTTTTATTTAACATATTCTTGAGTAGACTATACCCACTGGGCACACACTGGCTGAATCAACATTGTTTCCAAGTCATTTCAATGAAATTACATTGAACCAACATTGAATTGACATCTGTGTCCAGTGGGTATGGTGATTACATATGGGTACCTGCCAAAATAAAGGAAACACCAACATAAAGTGTCTTAATAAGGCGTTGGGTCACCACGAGCTGCCAGAACAGCTTCAATGTGCCGTTTCATAGATTCTACAAGTGTCTGGAACTCTATTGGAGGGATGTAACACCATTCTTCCACGAGAAATTCCATCATTTGGTGTTTTGTTGATGGTGGTGGAAAACGCTGTCTTGGGCGCCACTCCAGAATCTCCCATAAGTGTTCATTTGGGTTGAGATCTGGTGACTGAGACACACACACACACACACACACACACACACACACACACACACACACACACACACACACACACACACACACACACACACACACACACACACACACACACGCACACACACACACACGCACACACACACACATACACACAACACTTGAAACCCCCCCCATGCTCCTTTGAGACCCCTCTTTCAATGTCACTGAGATCTCTTCTTCTAGCCACGGTAGCCAAAATAATGGGCAACTGGGCATTTTTATACATAAACCTAAGCATGATGGGATGTTAATTGCTTAATTAAATCAGGAACCACACCTGTGTGGAAGCACCTGCTTTCAATATATACTGAACAAAAATATAAATGCAACATGCAACAATTTCAAAGATTTTACTGAGTTACAGTTCATATAAGGAAATCAGTCAATTGAAATAAATAAATTAGGCCCTAATCTATGGATTTCACATGACTGGGAATACAGCTATGCATCTGTTGGTCACAGATACCTTTAAAAAAGGTAGGGGCGTGGATCAGAAAACCAGTACGTTTCTGGTGTGACCACCATTTGCCTCATGCAGAGCGACACAACTCTGTCGCATAGATTTGATCAGGCTGTTGATTGTGGCCTGTGGAATGTTGTCCCACTCCTCTTCAATGGCTGTACAAAGTTGCTGGATATTGGCGGGAACTGGAACACATTGTCGTACACATCAATCCAGAGCATCCCAAACATGCTCAATGGGTGACATGTCTGGTGAGTATGCAGGCCATGGAAGAACTGGGACATTTCCCAGCTTCCATGAATTGTGTACAGTCCTTGCAAAATGGGGCTGTGCATTATCATGCTGAAACATGAGGTGATGGCGGCGGATGAAATGGCACGACAATGGGCCTCAGGATCTCATCACGGTATCTCTGTGCATAAAAATGTCCATAGAATGCAATTGTGTTCGTTGTCCGTAGCTTATGCCTGTCCATACCATAACCCCACCACCACCATGGGGCACTCTGTTCAAAATGTTGGCATCAGCAAACCACTCGCCCACACAACGCCATCTGCCCGGTACAGCTGAAACCGGTATTCATCCGTGAAGAGTACACTTCTTCAGTATGCCAGTGGCCATCGAAGGTCGGTTACGACGTCGAACTGTAGTCAGGCCAAGACCCTGGTGAGGACGACGAGCACACAGATGAGCTTCCCTAAGACGGTTTCTGGCAGTTTGTGCAGAAATCCTTCGGTTGTGCAAACCCACAGTTTCATCGGCTGTTCTCGTGGCTGGTCTCAGACGATCCCGCAGGTGAAGAAGCCGAATGTGGAGGTCCTGGGCTGGCGTGGTTACACGTGTTCTGCGGTTGTGAGGCCGGTTGGACGTACTGCCAAATTCTTTAAAACGACATTGGAGGTGGCTTATTGTAGAGAAATTAACATTACATTCTCTGGCAACAGCTCTGGTGGACATTCCTGCAGTCAGCATGCCAATTGCACGCTCCCTCAAAACTTGAGACATCTCTGGCATTGTGTTATGTGACAAAACTGCACATTTTAGAGTGCACCTGTGTAATGATCATGCTGTTTAATCAACTTCTTGATATGCCACACCTGTCAGGTGGATGGATTATCTTTGCAAATGAGAAATGCTCACTAACAGGGATGTAAACAAATATGTGCACATCATTTGAGAGAAATAAGCTTTTTGTGCGTATGGAACATTTCTGGGATCTTTTATTTCAGCTCATGAAACATGGGACCACCACTTCACATGTTGTGTTTAAATGTTTTGTTCAGTGTACTTTGTATCCCTCATTTACCCAAGTCAAGTGTTTCCTTTATTTTGGCAGTTACCTGTATGTTTAAGAGGAATCTCATATAATTATGAAATCTTTCAAATGCATTTCACAATCTTTGACATTTGCTTTAGCCCACCTGGAGTGCCAGATGGGCAGGGTTTGTAGACTATTATTTTGGTTCCATTGCGCCAGGCAAACTCAATCAAGCCCAGCTAAAGCATTTCAAATAGTATTTAAACCTAGGTCTGCTGTTGACCATAACATGTAAGACTCCACACACCACACACATCCGTTTGTTCATCATTGTGGATCCAATGTACAGAAGTACAAAAGTCGGGGCCATCCTGTGTGTGTGTCTGTGACTGCAACCACTCTGACTCTCAGCCTGCAGATGAATATGAGCCAATGGAAGGTAGCCATCCATGCATGATGACAAAAAAAAGGAAAAGCCAGTGTCTGACTGCAGTACCACACCACAATAATGGTGGAGTACTGAACGATGCAGTTTAGCTAGATGTTCGCTCTCTGCTCTACAGAGATATACTGGAGTAATATAACTATAACAGCAGAGACGGAAAAAGAGGTAGCAGCATATAGAATATTGGCGAGTAATGTTGACAGCCACTGGATGGAAATCCACTACAGACTCTCTCCCTCCTGGTCTCCTGTCCTTCTAGTCCTGAATTATTCAGACTGAATGGGGAGAATGCTATTCTTTCTCATTTACTGTGTGTGTGTGTGTGTGTGTGTGTGTGTGTGTGTGTGTGTGTGTGTGTGTGTGTGTGTGTGTGTGTGTGTGGTGTGTGTGCGCGTGCGTGCGTGCGTGTGTGTGTGTGTGTGTGTGTGTGTGCGTGCGTGTGTGTGTTTGTAGAGTAAATGTCTATCTGAGGACCCTACATGTAGGAGAACTACCTGCCAGAATGACTTTCTCTCCTACCGGGTCCAAACCAACCTTACTTTATAGAGCAGCTAGGCTAGTAAAATACTGATTGATGTTGTTTCCTCCAGTCAGTCTGAAATCTGAGAGATATACTTTGCCTGCTCTCTCTTTAAACCCCTTTTCTCTCCTGTGAAAGGACGGGGAGAGTGATGGGGCTCTAAATTACTATCTGGTTCCTATCCAGGCAGACGGCAGCCATTTTACAGAGAGCTACTCTACCTGTGGAGCGCTCACTCTCACAAATCACAATCACCGCTGAGACAAACGGTCCTTGATATCCGGTATCCTTGGGACATCCCAACTCTTACATTACCCCATTGAAGTTGAAAATTCAAATAGTTTAGGTGAGGGTTAAGGTTAGGGTTAAGGTTAGGTTTAGGATTTAGGGTAGGGACGTCCCAAGGATACCAGATAGCACTAACAGAAGACAAACCACTGCTGGAGAAGCAAATCTTTAGTCATTATCTGTCAGGAATGGAACATGGACAGGCAGGCTTTGTACATCATAAGAAAAACATCTAAGACCCCTCCATCATCACAGTGTCATTATTTTTTGAACGTCAGTCTTTGATATTGGTAGTGGTGGTTGTTCTTACTGTCTCTTGTTTCATTGATATCCTCTCTTAGTATAGTGAAGCCGATAGAACACTGGCTGTATCCTGGGCACTGCAGAGATAGTGAACTGTGTCTGTGGCTGTGTCTGAACCTGTGTATGTGTATGTACGTACTGTATATGTGTATGTATGTATGTGTGTGTGTGTGTGTATGTGTGTGTGTGTGTGTGTGTGTGTGTGTGTGTGTGTGCGTGTGTGCGTGTGTGTGTGTGTGCGTGTCGTGTGTGTGTGTGTTTGTGCTTGTGTGTGTGTGTGTGTGTGTGTGTGTGTGTGTGTGTGTGTGTGTGTGTGTGTGTGTGTGTGTGTGTGTGTGTGTGTGTGTGTGTGTGTGTGTGTGTGTGTGTGTGTGTGTGTGTGTGTGTGTGTGTGTGTGTGTGGCGGTGGCAGCAGCAGCAGCACACACACACTGGCACAGGCCAGTCCTTTCTCAGGGTCACCCTCCATCCCCTTAACGACAGAGTCATGGGGAGCGAACCAGACAAGGCCATTGTAATAGCACAGGACACACACATCAGACTTACTGTCTATCAGGCCCCAGCACACTCTAAGACTATCACAATCAAATTGTGGCCCCATTGTCCACTGAGACTAAACACCAGTGACACACTACAGTAAGAAGACAGTAGAGTTTTAACCCTGTCATGTTCTGTATTTACAACACTGAATGAAATAATGAGTTGCTGTGGGGAGAGAGAGAGCAAGAGAGGGGGGCGGGAGTGGTGGTGGGGGGGGGGGAAGGAGAGAGATAGCGAGAGAGAGAGAGATAGAGATATTATATATATATATATTTATCCTATATATATATATAGATAGATATATAGATGAAGATATAGTATATAGATAGCACACCACACTTGACACATTGGATAGAACAACCAAAAAACAGAGCAAACTAGAATGCTATTTGGCCCTAAACAGAGAGTACACAGTGGTAGAATACCTGACCACTGTGACTGACCCAAACTTAAGGAAAGCTTTGACTATGTACAGACTCAGTAAGCATAGCCTTGCTATTGAGAAAGGCCGCCGTAGGCAGACCTGGCTCTCAAGAGAAGACAGGCTATGTGCACACTGCCCACAAAATTAGGTGGAAACTGAGCTGCACTTCCTAACCTCCTGCCAAATGTATGACCATATTAGAGACACATATTTCCCTCAGATTACAGCGATCCACAAAGAATTAGTAAACAAACCCAATTTTGATAAACTCCCTTATCTACTGGGTGAAAAACCACAGTGTGCCATCACAGCTGCAATATTTGTGACCTGTTGCCACAAGAAAAGGGCAACCAGTGAAGAACAAACACCATTGTAAATACAACCCATATTTATGTTTATTTATTTTCCCATTTGTACTTGTAACTATTTGCACATTGTTACAACACTGTATATATACATAATATGACATTTGAAATGTCTTTATTATTTTGGAACTTCTGAGTGTAATGTTTAATGTTAATATTTATTGTTTATTTCACTTTTATTTACTATCTACTTCACTTGCTTTGGCAATGTTAACATACGTTTCCCATGCCAATAAAGCCCTTAAATTGAATAGAAATTGAGAGAGAGAGAGAGAGAGAGAGAGAGAGAGAGAGAGAGAGACTTGACAGAGAGAAAAAGCACAAGCCTGTAACAGTAAATGTATTTGTCCTGATTGACTTTGGTGCTTTCAGAGTTCTTCATGGCCCAGGAAGCAGACAGACCTGTGTGGGCGTGTCTCAGTCAAACAAAGAAGACAAAGTAACCTGCCGTCATCCATTACGTGAGTAAACACTATTTCAATGGAGAAGCCATTTTGTCTATTTACATGAAATCGATTTCTTTGTTTTCAAACGGATTGCTTTGGCTTTGGAACTCCTTCAAGGCATTGCATTAATAGAGTTTATTTGGCCCCTCAATTTTTTTTCTTTATTGTTGGACATACAAAAAAGTGTGACGGGTCCGCACTCAAAAAGATGTTGCATAAAGCTCATCTCACTTTTCATGTAAATTATATATATTTTTTTCACTGCATCAGGGACAGCGTACATAAACGTTTCGGCTTTGCAGCCTTCCCCAGTGAGAAGGCACGAATCCCCTTCATTCAAAACAGCACCCATTGAACACATGTGAGAAACCGATGAGCAGCAGGTGCCTTCAATCAGGGTTGCCATTCATCTGCCAATTATTGTTGGACATGAAAGACTGTAACAACACCAGCAAATTAGCTCCAAGTTATTATAATTTTGGAAATAGGTTCCAAAGTATTCCCACGCATAATAGAGATATATACTGAGTGTACAAAACATTAGGAACACCTTCCTTATATTGAGTTGCACCCACTTTTGCCCTCAGAACAGCCTCAATTCGTCGGGGCATGGACTCTACAAGGTGTCAAAATCATTCCACAGGGATGCTGGCCCATGTTGACTCCAATGCTTCCCACAGTTGTGTCAAGTTGGCTGAACGTCCTTTGGGTGGTGGACCATTCTTGATACACACGGAAAACTGTTGAGCGTGAAAAACCTAGCAGCGTTGCAGTTCTTGACACACTCAAACCAGTGCGCCTGGCACCTACTACCATACCTTGTTCAAAGGCCCTTAAATATTTTGTCTTGCCCATTCGCGCTCTGAATGGAACACATACACAATCCATGTCTCAATTGTCTCAAGGCTTAGAAATCCTTCTTTAACCTGTCTCCTTCCCTTCATCTATACTGATTGAAGTGGATTTAACAAGTGACATCAATAAGGGATCGTAGCTTTCACCTATATTCACCTGCTCAGTCTGTCATGGAAAGAACAGGTGTTCCTAATGTTCCTAATGTTTTGTACACTCAGTGTATGTGATCGTATACAAATGTAAGCAAGGTTTGAAAATATTATGTTTTAGTCAATTATATCTGTTTGGGCTTCTTGCGGTCAATTTGCAGTCTAAAAATAATTTGTAATTATGTTCCATCCGCTCAAGAAAAACTCGGCCCACGGCTGAATCTACTTGATGATCCCTGATGTAGAACGTATAGAATGGGGACTCTAAGTATCATATAGAGGAGGATAGAATAGGAAATCCCCTATATGGGTATTTTTATCTGCACCATAATTCTCCTATTGTTGAACTGGTTGAATTGTGACTATAAAGTAGGTGTGAGTACGATGGCAGCCTCTCTAGCACCAGAATAGCGTGGTAGCTATTCCATCTAGTCAGTGAATAGATGTGATGTGCTCACGACACTCTGCATCATCTCATTCACCATTTTCCCCCCACACAGCACAGCAGTTCCCTGGAATTCATGGCCAAAGCAACAGAACGCTGAGAAACAGAGCAGCCGCTTCAATCCCACTATACGAGAGATGGCTTCCTAGCCCTACAGCAAGAGAGAAAGATAAACTAACTCACTGAGGACAAGGTATTTATTTTTCTATTCCTCTGTATCTCAACTCTGCCACTCCATTTTCAGCAGCACGGACAGACTGTATCTCAACTCTTTCGTTGCTCGGATTTTGATTCATAGGAGAAGCTCTCAGAGACAGAGGGAGCTGGAGGGTTTTTTATGAAACTCATCTCTATGCTAATTGAGTTAGATCAGCAAATGCCAGCTATTCTCACCACCACAACATATAGGAAACACATGCACAAGATTAGAACACATAAGTGGTTTCTATAGAGAAAGAGAACATGGTTCTGATGGTTCAGTTAACAAGCATATTTTGACAGTGCGATAAGTTGACAGATGAGATGACAAATAGGTAGGTTGAGTTACATAATTGTCTTACAGCAGAGAGGGAGAGAGAGAGAGAGACAGAGAGAGAGAGAGAGAGAGGGAGAGAGAAAGAGAGAGCGAGAGAGAGAGAGAGTGAGAGAGCGAGAGAGAGAGAGAGAGAGAGAGAGAGAGAGAGAGAGAGAGAGAGAGAGAGAGAAGAGAGAGAGAGAGAGAGAGAGAGAGAGAGAGAGAGAGAGAGAGAGAGAGAGAGAGAGGACTGGTAGTGAGTATTATGGGACTTGCAGGTGTTACAGCAGGTGCAGAGAAATGCTTATGTTACTAGCTGAGTGTAACTGAGTCAGGTTTGTGGGTCTCCTTGCTCGCACACGCTTTTTCAGTTCTGCCCACAAATGTTCTATACATTCCTCCAAACATAACGATGGTCATTATGGCCAAACAGTTCTATTTTTGTTTCATCAGACCAGAGGACATTTCTCCAAAAAGTATGATCTTTGTCCCCATGTGCAGTTGCAAACCGTAGTCTGGCTTTTTTATGGCGTTTTTGGAGCAGTGGCTTCTTCCTTGCTGTACCTGTTTCCTCCAGCATCTTCACAAGGTCCTTTGCTGTTGTTCTGGGATTGATTTGCACTTTTCGCACCAAAGTACGTTAATCTCTAGGAGACAGAACGCATCTCCGCGTCTCCTTCCTGAGCGGTATGACGGCTGCGTGGTCCCATGGTGTTTATACTTGCGTACTATTGTTTGTACAGATGAACTTGGTACCTTCAGGCGTTTGTAAGTTGCTCCCAATGATGAACCAGACTTGTGGAGGTCTACAATTTTTTTTCTGAGGTCTTGGCTGATTTCTTTTCATTTTCCCATGATGTCAAGCAAAGAGGCACTGAGTTCAAGGTATGCCTTGAAATACATCCACAGGTACACCTCCAATTGACTCAAATTATGTCAATTAGCCTATCAGAAGCTTCTAAAGCAATGAATTTTCCAAGATGTTTAAAGGCACAGGCAACTTCTGACCCACTGGAATTGTGATACAGTGAATTATAAGTGAAATAATCTGTCTGTAAACAATTGTTGGAAAAATTACTTGTGTCATGCACAAAGTAGATGTCCTAACCGACTTGCCAAAACTATAGTTTGTTAACAAGACATTTGTGGAGTGGTTGAAAAATAAGTTTTAATGACTCCAACCTAAGTGTATGTAAACTTCCGACTTCAACTGTACATATGTCATGACTTGCCCTCATGGGTTGAGGATCAAACATTCCTGCTAGGCAAAGGTTTGAACACCCCCTTTCCTGGGGGCCAGTTTTATGACTTAACAGCTTTTCATAAATAGTTTGCAGAAAAGGACTCCTTTTGGTCTCTAGTATGGGAAGAAAGGATTTCCCTGTGAGACAAAGGAAGTCTTCCCGCCAAGACTCCAACATCCAAAAGTGGATAATGAAACAATATTCCTACTTAAAATAATCTGGGAAAGGGTCAGTGGGGATCTAAAGAATAATCATGTCATATTGTTTAATATTTTGTGATGTCATTAAGGATGGTATCAAGTAATAACTGTAATTCGGAAAGTGTACATATTCTATCTATCAAGTTTACATCTAAATGTTGTATAAAATATATGATTAAGTATTAGAGTATTTTGGTGAAGATAGGAATGTGATTTTAGTCTTCTAATGAGATAATAGTTTTTCATACAGTGAGGGAAAAAAGTATTTGATCCCCTGCTGATTTTGTACGTTTGCCCACTGACAAAGAATAATGGTAGGTTTATTTGAACTGTGAGAGACAGAATAACAACAAAAAAATCCAGAAAAACGCATGTCAAAATGTCATAAATTGATTTGAATTTTAATGAGGGAAATAAGTATTTGACCCCTCTGCAAAACATGACTTAGTACTTGGTGGCAAAACCCTTGTTGGCAATCACAGAGGTCAGACGTTTCTTATAGTTGGCCACCAGGTTTGCACACATCTCAGGAGGGATTTTGTCCCACTCCTCTTTGCAGATCTTCTCCAAGTCATTAAGGTTTCGAGGCTGACGTTTGGCAACTCAAACCTTCAGCTCCCTCCACAGATTTTCTATGGGATTAAGGTCTGGAGACTGGCTAGGCCACTCCAGGACCTTAATGTGCTTCTTCTTGAGCCACTCCTTTGTTGCCTTGGCCGTGTGTTTTGGGTCATTGTCATGCTGGAATACGCATCCACGACCCATTTTCAATGCCCTGGCTGAGGGAAGGAGGTTCTCACCCAAGATTTGACGGTACATGCCCCGTCCATCGTCCCGTTGATGCAGTGAAGTTGTCCTGTCCCCTTAGCAGAAAATCACCCCCAAATAATGTTTCCACCTCCATTTTTGGTGTTCTTGGGGTCATAGGCAGCATTCCTCCTCCTCCAAACACGGCGAGTTGAGTTAATGCCAAAGAGCTCGGTCTTGGTCTCATCTGACCACAACATCTTCACCCAGTTCTCCTCTGAATCATTCAGATGTTCATTGGCAAACTTCAGACGGGCCTGTATATGTGCTTTCTTGAGCAGGGGGACCTTGCGGGCACTGCAGGATTTCAGTCCTTCACGGCGTAGTGTGTTACCAATTGTTTTCTTGGTGACTACGGTCCCAGCTGCCTTGAGATCATTGACAACATCCTCCCGTTTAATTCTGGGCTGATTCCTCACCGTTCTCATGATCATTGCAACTCCACGAGGTGAGATCTTGCATGGAGCCCCAGACCGAGAGAGATTGACAGTTCTTTTGTGTTTCTTCCATTTGCGAATAATCGCACCAACTGTTGTCACCTTCTCACCAAGCTGCTTGGCGATGGTCTTGTAGCCCATTCCAGCCTTGTATACAGTGGGGAAAAAAAGTATTTAGTCAGCCACCAATTGTGCAAGTTCTCCCACTTAAAAAGATGAGGGAGGCCTGTAATTTTCATCATAAGTACACATCAACTATGACAGACAAAATGAGAAAAAAAATTCCAGAAAATCACATTGTAGGATTTTTTATGAATTTATTTGCAAATTATGGTGGAAAATAAGTATTTGGTCAATAACAAAAGTTTCTCAATACTTTGTTATATACCCTTTGTTGGCAATGACACAGGTCAAACGTTTTCTGTAAGTCTTCACAAGGTTTTCACACACTGTTGCTGGTATTTTGGCCCATTCCTCCATGCAGATCTCCTCTAGAGCAGTGATGTTTTGGGGCTGTCGCTGGGCAACACGGACTTTCAACTCCCTCCAAAGATTTTCTATGGGGTTGAGATATGGAGACTGGCTAGGCCACTCCAGGACCTTGAAATGCTTCTTACGAAGCCACTCCTTCGTTGCCCGGGCGGTGTGTTTGGGATCATTGTCATGCTGAAAGACCCAGCCACGTTTCATCTTCAATGCCCTTGCTGATGGAAGGAGGTTTTCACTCAAAATCTCACGATACATGGCCCCATTCATTCTTTCCTTTACACGGATCAGTCGTCCTGGTCCCTTTGCAGAAAAACAGCCCCAAAGCATGATGTTTCCACCCCCATGCTTCACAGTAGGTATGGTGTTCTTTGGATGCAACTCAGCATTCTTTGTCCTCCAAACACGACGAGTTGAGTTTTTACCAAAAAGTTCTATTTTGGTTTCATCTGACCATATGACATTCTCCCAATCCTCTTCTGGATCATCCAAATGCACTCTAGCAAACTTCAGACGGGCCTGGACATGTACTGGCTTAAGCAGGGGGACACGTCTGGCACTGCAGGATTTGAGTCCCTGGCGGCGTAGTGTGTTACTGATAGTAGGCTTTGTTACTTTGGTCCCAGCTCTCTGCAGGTCATTCACTAGGTCCCCCCGTGTGGTTCTGGGATTTTTGCTCACCGTTCTTGTGATCATTTTGACCCCACGGGGTTTGATCTTGCGTGGAGCCCCAGATCGAGGGAGATTATCAGTGGTCTTGTATTTCTTCCATTTCCTAATAATTGCTCCCACAGTTGATTTCTTCAAACCAAGCTGCTTACCTATTGCAGATTCAGTCTTCCCAGCCTGGTGCAGGTCTACAGTTTTGTTTCTGGTGTCCTTTGACAGCTCTTTGGTCTTGGCCATAGTGGAGTTTGGAGTGTGACTGTTTGAGGTTGTGGACAGGTGTCTTTTATACTGATAACAAGTTCAAACAGGTGCCATTAATACAGGTAATGAGTGGAGGACAGAGGAGCCTCTTAAAGAAGAAGTTACAGGTCTGTGAGAGCCAGAAATCTTGCTTGTTTGTAGGTGACCAAATACTTATTTTCCACCATAATTTGCAAATAAATTCATTAAAAATCCTACAATGTGATTGTCTGGATTTTTTTTTTTCAATTTGTCTGTCATAGTTGACGTGTACCTATGATGAAAATTACAGGCCTCTCTCATCTTTTTAAGTGGGAGAACTTGCACAATTGGTGGCTGACTAAATACTTTTTTCCCCCACTGTAGGTCTACAATCTTGTCCCTGACATCCTTGGAGAGCTCTTTGGTCTTGGCCATGGTGGAGAGTTTGGAATCTGATTGATTGATTGCTTCTGTGGACAGGTGTCTTTTATACAGGCAACAAGCTGAGATTAGGAGCACTCCCTTTAAGAGTGTGCTCCTAATCTCAGCTCGTTACCTGTATAAAAGACACCTGGGAGCCAGAAATCTTTCTGATTGAGAGGGGGTCAAATACTTATTTCCCTCATTAAAATGCAAATCAATTTATAACATTTTTGACATGCGTTTTTCTGGATTTTTTGTTGTTGTTATTTTGTCTCTCACTGTTCAAATAAACCTACCATTAAAATTATAGACTGATCATTTCTTTGTCAGTGGGTAAACATACAAAATCAGCAGTGGATCAAATACTTTTTTTCCCTCACTGTAAAGGTATGGCACCGTACTCCCAACAGTCATGTATGAATGCTTAAACATGCTTAAACATACTTGTATGCTCATTTATGTATTTCCTAACTAAAGGTCTAAGGAAGGTTTCTTATGGCTCAATAATACTGATGAATGGCGTGGATTATACACCTCTGCTCAGTCCCACATTGTGACGTCTACCATTCCATATTGAGGCAAACATGCAACAGCTCTGTGACATTTTATCTTTCCTCGATTCCTTGCATCCTTTTTCCAAGCCTCCTTCTAAAACCCCATCTGAGAAGAGGACCCAAGATTCCTCCCCTCAGACCTCAAGAAGGATGCGAGTAGAGAGGAAGTGAGGAGTTGAGCTGAGAATAATTGGGACAGAGCTCATGTCATTGTTTTAGGTGGAACCTTATGTTGAATTATACAGTTGTTATCCGTTTGCACATACAGTATATCTTTGTTCAATGTGCTCTTTCCACATATGGCTCTGGCTTGCTGATAATATCTGATCTGATGAGACTCCCCATGTGATTTAACACCTGTATTACTGCCTGTAATCAATAAAACATCCAATGCTAAATTGAAACAATTGTGGTTCCCAATCAGACAATTACTATAAAACAAATCTGTTTTCCTCAGTTAAATGTTTGGTGAACGCATGGCGTTGCTTTGTCCTCAGTCCTCCTTTGAATTCTGTGTGTACAATGATGACATGTTGACCTGAGTTTAGCTGGTTAATCATATTAATTTCAGTTAACATTCTATTAGGCACTCATTATGTACTGTATTAAGGTAGCAGGTTCTACCCTTCATGTCTCCATATAATAAAGAATACCCCATGTGATGTGTGTGTGTGCCCTTGGGCTTTCTCTAAACTAGCCTCCTAGTCCTTCTTTTCTTTCAATGGTATCATCATTATGCCATTATTATGTGTGTACCCACATGTTATTCCCAACAATGGAATCATTATATTTAGCTGTATTAAATGATGTCCAGGACCTAGTGTATGATGATTGAACTTGTTAGATCACAGCCACATTATGTCCATAATCTAACTATTATTTGATACATTAACTCCCTCATATCAAGCAAACACATACCAGACACTTTGTGGAAAAGTGAAGAAAAACTATTAGCTAGTGATGGACTATGGTGTTACTTAGCTAGAGCAGACTGTCTGCTTTTCGTCTTACAGACAAACGTTGCTGGCTAACAAGTAATTAATTAGCTAGCTAACTTTAGCAAGTAGATTCGACTCAACTAAAGGTATAGTATAGCTTTTTAATGTATTTCCCAATTGCTTTGCGTATGTATCAAGTTGAAGCTGGGTTTCCCAAGTCGGTCGGTGATTACTGTTCAAGCTGGCTATCCAGCTAAACAGACGGCTCTGAAGCTCATCTGTTTGACGTCATGCACCCAAGAAGTCTTAACCAATCACACGACACAACACAACACTGGACTGGCCAAGGGCAAACATTTGTTAGTTCGTCCATCACTCCAGTGAAAGTGACCAATCCAAGGTTTCTAGACATGCACCCGCTTCTAAGCCCCCCCACCCCCACCAGCCTGAAATCCAATCGAGAAAATATAGACATTGAAACCCTAAGGTGAGCAACTTGAGAAATTGAGAGTGAAAACCTGACAAAGACTTGACTATTGTTGGTGAACAATTTGATGCTTTCCCAAAATAAATTACTTGTTTGAACCACGTTTCTTTGCTTGCGGTTCTATATTTTTTGATTCAGACATTTTTCTTTTTGATCTGCAGCAATGATGTTCTGCTCGCTCAAAGTCACACTTGCAAACTCTCAAGTTTGGCCCAGCCTCGCGGGAACCATCCTCTCTTAACTGGTCTATGAGCTCGCAGCACTCATCCTCTGCTCGCGGGACCCATCCTCTGTGCTCTCGACTCAGTGTTTGCTTGCTCAATGATGTTTCATCTTGCTCGACAACGTCATTTCACGCGTGCTCGACTTCAGAGATACATTTGACGCCATACTCCTTTGCTTGTTTTTTTAACATTGAGGGAGAGGTTATTTTCTTGGCACCACTTTGCCAGGGCTCTAGCCTCCTCCCTGAAGGCTGTCTCATTGTTGTTGGTAATCGGGCCTACCACTGTCGTGTCATCAGCAAACGTAATGATTGAGTTGGAGTCATGCGTAGCTACTGGGCTGAGCACACAACCCTGTTAAGTTATCTCATAGTAGGTCTGAACTGGTAGTGAGTATTATGGCACTGTGATAGACTCCAGGGCCTAGTTTTCCAAAAGGCAATTCGGATAGGATTAAATGCATAGAAATATAAATAATAGAACGGGTGTATCATTGACTTGAATGGGGGGAAGCATGTTCTATTCATTATATTTCTATGCATTTAATCCTATCCGATTGCTGAAATCCGATCAGATAACTTCTGAAAAAATGGGCCAAGGGGGTGAAGAGTGAGAGTGAGCGTGAGAGAGGTTATGGGTCTGTGGCAGTAGAGAGGCTATGTTACTGTACCTCATAGTAACTCTGGACTGCGTTGATGAAAGCTTCGTCAGCCACTATCTGGGTGTCTCCATTGAGGAAGGCCTTGAAGCGGTCGTTGGTCTGCCGGAGCTGCTGCTCTGTGATCTGGGGAGGCAGAGAACACAATGAGGACACTTCAATAACACAGCCATATAACACAGAGGACATCTCAATGACAGTGATATAAGACATAGGACATCTCAATGACAGCCATATAACACAGATTACATCTATATTGACAGTGATATAAGACATAGGACATCTCAATGACAGCCATATAACACAGAGGACATCTCAATGACTGATTTGACAGCCCTTTCACACCTCCAGGCTGTCTAAGGTTTTTTTTAAAAGTATTTATGCATAGTCACTTTAACTCTACCCACATGTACATATTACCTCAACTACCTCAACTAGCCGGTGCCCCCGCACATTGACTCTGCAACGGTACCCCCCTGTATATATAGCCTCCCTACTGTCACTTTATTTTACTTCTGCTCTTTTTTTCTCAACACTTTTTTTGTTGTTGTTTTATTCTTACTTTTTTTGTTTAAAATAAATGCACTGTTGGTTAAGGGCTGTAAGTAAGCATTTCACTGTAATGTCTGCACCTGTTGTATTCGGCGCATGTGACCAATACAATTTGATTTGATTTGATTTGATAAGGGCTATTTAACCAAGAAGGAGTGTGATGGAGTGCAGCATCTGATGACCTGGCCTCCACAATCCCCCGACCTCAACCCAATTGAGATGGTTTGGGATGAGTCGGACGGCAGAGTGAAGGAAAAGCAGCCAACAAGTGATCAGCATATGTGGGAACTCCTTCAATACTGTTGGAAAAGCATTCCAAGTGAAGCTGGTTGAGAGAATGCCAAGAGTGTGCAAAGCTGTCATCAAAGCAAAGGGTGGCTATTTGAAGAATCTCAAATATAAAATATAATTGGATTTGTTTAACACTTTTTTGGTTACTACATATTTCCATATGTGTTATTTCATAGTTTTGATGCAGGTAACTCTGGGTCTTCTATTCCTGTGGCGGTCCTCATGAGAGCCAGTTTCACCATAGCACTTGATGGTTTTTGCGACTGCACTTGAAGAAACTTTCAAAGTTCTTGTAATTTTCCGTATTGACTTACTTTCATGTCTTAAAGTAATGATGGACTGTAATTTCTCTTTGCTTATTTGAGCTGTTCTTGCCATAATATGGACTGTATACCCCCCTACCTTGTTACAACACAACTGATTGGCTCAAACACATTAAGAAGGAAAGAAATTCCACAAATTAACTTTTAACGAGGCACACCTATTAATTGAAATGCATTCCAGGTGACTACCTCATGAAGCTGGTTGAGAGAATGCCAAGAGTGTACAAAGCTGTCATCAAGGCAAAGAGTGGCTATTTGAAGAATCTCAAATATAAAATATATTTTGATTTGTTTAACACTTTTTTAGTTACTACATGATTCCATATGTGTTATTTCATAGTTTTGATGTCTTCACTATTATTTTTAAAAAATATATGAAAAATAAAGAAAAACCCTTGAATATGTAGGTGTGTCCAAACTTTTGACTGGTAGTGTATATATTTTTTGTAATGTATTCAAATAGGGGGACTAGATACTGTACATAAAGTGCTTTCATTTCTAAACGGTAAAACAGAAATGTCTAAAAAATACCCTCAAATAAAAGGTGACATTCTATATAGTCGCCACATATGAAACATTTGATCTCAAATCCAAAATGCTGGAGTATTGAGTCAAATTTACTAATTGTTGCTTCACTGTCCAAATACAGTGCCTTGCAAAAGTATTCATCCCCCTTGGCATTTTTCCTATTTTGTTGCATTACAACCTGTAATTTAAATTTTTATTTGTATTTCATGTAATGGACATACACAAAATAGTCCAAATTGGTGAAGTGAAATGAAAAAAATAAATAATGGAAAAGTGGTGCGTGCATATGTATTCACCCCCTTTGCTATGAAGCCCCTAAATAAGATCTGGTGCAACCAATTACCTTCAGAAGTCACATAATTAGTTAAATAAAGTCCACCTGTGTGCAATCTAAGTGTCACATGATCTGTCACATGATCTCAGTATATATACACCTGTTCTGAAAGGCCCCAGAGTCTGCAACACCACTAAGCAAGGGGCACCACCAAGCAAGCGGCACCATGAAGACCAAACAGGTCAGGGACAAAGTTGTGGAGAAGTACATATCAGGGTTGGGTTATAAAAAAATATCAGAAACTTTGAACATCCCACGGAGCACCATTAAATCCATTATTAAAAAATTTAAATAATATGGCACCACAACAAACCTGCAACAGAGAGGGCCGCCCACCAAAACTCACGGACCAGGCAAGGAGGGCATTAATCAGAGAGGCAACAATGAGACCAAAGATAACCCTGAAGGAGCTGCAAAGCTCCACAGCGGAGATTGGAGTATCTGTCCATAGAACCACTTTAAGCTGTACACTCCACAGAGCTGGGCTTTACGGAAGAGTGGCCAGACAAAAGCCATTGCTTAAAGAAAAAAATAAGCAAAGACATTTGGTGTTCGCCAAAAGCCATGTGGGAGACTTCCCAAACATATGGAAGAAGGTACTCTGGTCAGATGAGACTAAAATTGAGCTTTTTGGCCATCAAGGAAAACACTATGTCTGGCGCAAACCCAACACCTCTCATTACCCCGAGAACACCATCCCCACAATGAAGCATGGTGGTGGCAGCATCATGCTGTGGGGATGTTTTTCATCGGCAGGGACTGGGAAACTGGTCAGAATTGAAGAAATGATGGATGGCGCTAAATACAGGGACATTCTTGAGGGAAACCTGTTTCAGTCTTCCAGAGATTTGAGACTGGGATGGAGGTTCACCTTCCAGCAGGACAATGACCCTCAGCATACTGCTAAAGCAACACTCAAGTGGTTTAAGGGGAAACATTTAAATGTATTGGAATGGCCTAGTCAAAGCCCAGACCTCAATCCAATTGAGAATCTGTGGTATGACTTAAAGATTGCTGTACACCAGTGGAACCCATCTAACTTGAAGGAGCTGGAGCAGTTTTGCCTTGAAGAATGGGCAAAAATCCCAGTGGCTAGATGTGCCAAATGTTCGGGGTGTTTGATAGCTCTTGATTTGATTGCTTCTGATAAGGTAGGAGTGCTTGTAGTGCTTATCATGAGGAAACAATATGCATATAAACTGTACATTTCTAATGATAATCTTAGCTTATCTGAAAACTATATCTGAAATATATCTGAAATATGTAACATTGCACCTTCTCTCTTTTCTAGGATTTGTGTAATAATGTCATATGTCACTGAAGTACAACTGAATTATCTTCATCAATAGTTCACAGAGGAATCCTGGGTATTTAAGGAGGCAAAACTAATCTTGACCAATTATGACTGATAACAGAAGCAAGATGATCAGGCAAAAGACACCAGTCATCTGTAGTAAAGACCACAGGCCAGAGAGACAGGCAGGATCAGGAGCTCCTTTACAATATAACTATATTAGACAACCCTGTCATGTTCTGTTAGTCCTAGTTCATACATAGACTGACTGGTCCACACTGTAATAAAATTACAACATCTTTCTTTTTTCTTTTTCCTTTTTCATTTCCTGTCGATGACAAGAAGGTATTTGAATATGTATTTTCTCTCAATACTTTATGAGCCCCTCAAACCACGTAGCTATATTTGATTAAAACATTAAATCAAAGTCGGGGTGCTCTAAATTTGTAATGTGTGCTCTGCAGGCATTACTTTGGACTACACTTTAACAATTTAATTCAGCAGCCACCTCAGCATCACTATGTGTAATGGTATTTCCAGTGGTGGAAAAGAGTACCCAATTTTCATACTCAAGTAAAAGTGAATGTCACCCAGTAAAATACTACTTGAGTAAAAGTCTAAAAGTATTTGGTTTTAAATATACTGAAGTATTGAAAGTAAATTGAATTGCTCAAATATACTTAAGTATCAAAAGTAAAAGTATAAATCATTTGAAATTCCTTATATAAAGCAAACCAGACTGCACCATTTTGTTGTTTTTATTGTATTTACATATAGCCAGAGGCACACTCCAACACTCAGACAGAATTTACAAACGAAGCATGTGTGTTTAGTGAGTCCGCCAGATCAGAGGCAGTAGGGATGTTCTGTTGATAAGTGCGTGAATTGGACCATTTTCCTGTCCCGCTAAGCATTCAAAATGTAACGAGCACTTTTGTGTCAGGGAACATGTATGGAGTAGAAAGTACATTATTTTCTTTAGGAATGTAGTGAAGTAAAAGTCAAAAATATAAATAGTAAAGTACAAACACACATCCATACACACACACACAAACACCTACACTCACAAGCTAAAATTGTGGTATCATCCCCCCAGGACTGGAAAAATCGCTTTGAACAGTCTTCCAACTCGAAATTACAAGTCGAAAACTCGGGCATCATCCTAGAGCTCTGACTTCTCCAACCTGAAAGATCACTGACTTCACGATTTTTCCCATTCTGAGCTCGTTTTCTTCAGAGTTCCCAGTTGTCTTGAACACACCATGTGTATAGTATGTTGATATGTGTTGTGTAGTGCATACATTTTTACTAAATAGCATGTAGTATGATACACAGTATGCAGTTTTAGTAAGTAGTAGGGAAGACAGAATTCAGACATAGAGTCTATCTATCATGGAGTCTATCTGTTTAACGTTCAAACCAAAGAAACTCTCCTCTGACAAGACAACATTTTCTGAGAGAAAAGAGAGGGAATAGAGGGAGGGAGGGAGGGAGGGACATACAGACAGACAGACAGACAGACAGACAGACAGACAGAGACAGACAGACAGACAGACAGACAGACAGACAGACAGACAGACAGACAGACAGACAGACAGACAGACAGACAGACAGACAGACAGACAGACAGACAGACAGACAGACAGACAGACAGACAGACAGACAGACAGACAGACAGACAGACAGACAGACAGATAGACAGACAGGCATATAGATAGATAGATAGATAGATAGATAGATAGATAGATAGATAGATAGATAGATAGATAGATAGATAGATAGATAGATAGATAGATAGATAGATAGATAGATAGATAGATAGATAGATAGATAGATAGATAGATAGATAGATAGATAGATAGATAGATAGATAGATAGATAGATAGATAGATAGATAGATAGTTAGATAGATAGATAGAAGCACCAGAGGAAGAAAAACATGGGCGTGAGATCAATACTTTAGATTCGGCATCTGTGGTTTTGTCTCTCTACCCCAACAGCTGCTAGAGCAGAATAGAGTGGAGAAGCTCTGACTCGTCCCTGCTGTGTCCTAATACAGAAACACACACACACACACACACACACCCACACACACACACACTTGTCCTACTTGTCCCTGCTCTGTCCTAATAGACTGCAGTGTTCAAGGACCATCCGGAGTCGCAGAGATGTTAATATTCACCCGTATGCAAATCAGGGCTGTTCGTTATGAGACGGTAGCTGGCCCGACACACACACACACACACTCGTCCTTGGCTGTCCTCTCTGGGAAGAGGGCATGTGTCTTCAATCGTCACAGACAGAGAGGAGACAGGGAACACAGGACACACCCCTTATTGACAGCTGGGCTCGGCTCTCTGTTTTCATTGGCTCGTACATGATGAATTTTATTGTCCAATGGTTACGTAATGTGTTCAGTGTACCAACAAATACTAATTAGAGTGTCTATGGCTAGGCTATTCCTGTGGCAAGCTTACTTTAATAGGCAGGCAGCCTGATACCATGTCGTGCAAACTTACAATTCAGCATTCGTATTTTTTGGGTGAATGCAAACCTAAATTCAACACAGAGGTCACAAGTCTCATGAAGGTCTTGTGTAGTGTACAGTAGTAGGGTCTGGTGTAGTTTACAGTAGTAGTAGTAGGGTCTGGTGTAGTTTACAGTAGTAGTAGGGTCTGGTGTAGTGTACAGTAAGTAGGGTCTGGTGTAGTGTACAGTAGCAGTAGGGTCTGGTATAGTGTACAGTAGCAGTAGGGTCTGGTGTAGTGTACAGTAGTAAGGTATGGTGTAGTGTACAGTAGTGAGGTCTGGTGTAGTTTACAGTAGTAGTAGGGTCTGGTGTAGTTTACAGTAGTAGTAGGGTCTGGTATAGTGTACAGTAGTAGGGTCTGGTGTAGTGTACAGTAGTAGGGTCTGGTGTAGTTTACAGTAGTAGTAGGGTCTGGTGTAGTTTACAGTAGTAGTAGGGTCTGGTGTAGTGTACAGTAGTGAGGTCTGGTGTAGTTTTACAGTAGTAGGTCTGGTGTAGTGGACAGAGCAGGGGTACAGTAGTATAGGGTCTGGTTGTAGTGTACAGTAGTAGAGGTCTGGTGTAGTGTCAAGTAGTAGGGTCTGGTGTAGTGTACGTATGTAGTAGGGTCTGGTGTAGTTTACAGTAGTAGGGTCTGGTAGCGTACAGTAGTAGGGTTGTGTAGTTTACAGTAGTAGTAGGGTCTGGTGTAGTGACGTAGTGGGCTGTGTATTACGTAGTAGGGTCTGGTGTAGTGTACAGTAGTAGGTATGGTGTAGTGTACAGTAGTAGAGGGTCTGGTGTAGTTTACAGTAGTAGTAGGGTCTGGTGTAGTGTACAGTAGTAGGGTCTGGTGTAGTTTACAGTAGTAGGGTCTGTTGTTAGTTTACAGTAGTAGGGTCTGGTGTAGTTTACAGTAGTAGTAGGGTCTGTGTGTCGTCAGTATAGGTCTGGTATGTTACAGTAGTAGGGTCTGGTGTAGTTTACAGTAGTAGTAGGGTCGTAGTCAGTAGTAGGTGGTGAGTTTACAGTAGTAGGGTCTGGTTAGTTACAGTAGTAGGGTCTGGTGTAGTTACAGTAAGTAGGGTCTGGTATAGTGTACAGTAGTAGGGTCTGGTGTAGTTTACAGTAGTAGGGTCTGGTGTAGTGTACAGTAGTAGGGTCTGGTGTAGTGTACAGTAGTAGTGGTCTGGTTTAGTGTACAGTGACGTATGGGTCTGGTGTAGTGTACAGTAGTAGGGTCTGGTGTAGGTACAGTAGTATAGGGTCTGGTGTAGTTTACAGTAGTAGGGGTCTGGTGTAGTGTACAGTAGTAGGGTCTGGTGTAGTTTACAGTAGTAGGGGTTCTGGTGTAGTTTACAGTAGTAGGGTCTGTGTAGTGTACATAGTATAGGTTCTGGTGTAGTTGTACAGGTAGTAGGTCTGGTGTAGTGTACGAGTAGTAGGGTCTGGTGTAGTTTACAGTAGTAGTAGGGTCTGGTGTAGTGTACAGTAGTAGGGTCTGGTGTAGTTTACAGTAGTAGGGTCTGGTGTAGTTACAGTAGTAGGGTCTGGTGTAGTTGTACAGTAGTAGTAGGGTCTGGTAGTGTCAGTAGTAGGTCTGGTTGTTTACAGTAGTAGTGGTCTGGTGTAGTGTTACAGTAGTAGGGTCTGGTGTAGTTGTACAGTAGTAGGGTCTGGTGTAGTTTACAGTAGTAGGGTCTGGTGTAGTTTACGTAGTAGTAGGGTCTGGTGTAGTTTACAGTAGTAGTAGGTCTGGTGTAGTTTACAAGTAGTAGGGTCTGGTGTAGTTACAGTATGTAGGGTCTGGTGTAGTTTACAAGTAGAGTAGGGTCTGGTTAGTGTCAGTAGAGTAGGGTCTGTGTAGTTACGAGTAGTAGGTCTGGTGTAGTTTACAGTAGTAGTAGGGTCTGGTGTAGTGTACAGTAGTAGGGTCTGGTGTAGTTTACAGTAGTAGTGGTCTGGTGTAGTTTACAGTTAGTAGGGTCTGGGTAGTGTACAGTAGTAGGTTGGTGTAGTGTACAGTAGTAGTAGGGTCTGGTGTAGTGTTACAGTAGTAGGTCTGGTGTAGTTACAGTAGAGTAGGGTCTGGTAGTAGTGTACAGTAGTAGGGTCTGGTGTAGTTTACAGTAGTATGTAGGTCGTGTGTAAGTTAGTGGGTCTGGTGTTTACAGTAGTAGTAGGGTCTGGTGTAGTGTTAGCAGTAGAGGTCTGGTGGTAGTTACATAGTAGGTCTGGTGTAGGTACAGTAGTAGGGTCTGTGTAGTTACAGTAGTAGTAGGGTCTGGTATAGTGTACAGTAGTAGGTCTGGTGTAGTGTACAGTAGTAGCTGGTGTAGGTACAGTAGTAGGGTCTGTGTAGTTCAAGTTAGGGTCTGGTGTAGTTTACAGTAGTGAGGGTCTGGTGTAGTGTCATAGTAGTTAGGGTCGGGTGTAGTTTACAGTAGTAGGGTCTGGTGTAGTTTACATAGTAGTAGGGTCTGTGTAGTTGTACAGTAGTAGGTCTGGTGTAGTTACAGTAGTAGGTCTGGTGTAGTTTACAGTGTAGGGTATGGTGTAGTTACAGTAGTAGGGTCTGGTGTAGTTTACAGTAGTAGGGTCTGGTGTAGTCAGTACAGTAGTAGGGTCTGGTGTAGTTTACAGATAGTAGGGTCTGGTTGTACGTACAGTAGTAGGGTCTGGTGAGTTTACAGTAGTAGGGTTGGTGTAGTTGTACATTATGTGGTCTGGTGTAGTTTACAGTAGTAGGGTCTGGTGTAGTTTATAGTGTAATATGGGTCTGGTGTAGTTTACAGTATAGTAGGTTCGGTGTAGCGTACAGTAGTAGGGTCTGTGAGTGTTCAGTAGTGGGTAGGGTCTGGTTTATAGTGTGTACAGTAGTAGGGTCTGGTGTAGTGTACTAGTAATATGGTCTGGTGTAGTTTACAGTAGTAGTAGGGTCTGGTTAGTGTACAGTAGTAGGGTCTGGTGTAGTGTACAGTAGTAGTAGGGTCTGGTATAGTGTACAGTAGTAGGGTCTGGTGTAGTGTACAGTAGTAGGTTGGTGTAGTTTACATAGTAGTAGGTCTGGTGTAGTGTACAGTAGTAGGGTCTGGTGTAGTGTACAGTCAGTAGGGTCTGGTGTAGTGTACAGTAGTAGGGTCTGGTGTAGTGTACAGTAGTAGGGTCTGGGTAGTGTACAGTAGTAGGGTCTGGTGTAGTGTACAGTAGTAGGGTCTGTGTGTGCGTTACAGTAGTAGGGTCTGGTGTAGTTACAGTGTATAGGGTCTGGTGTAGTGTACAGTAGTAGGGTCTGGTGTAGTGTACAGTAGTAGGGTTGGTGTAGTGTACAGTAGTAGAGGGTCTGGTGTAGTGTACAGTAGTAGTAGGTATGGGTAGGTGTAGTAGTGTAGGGTCTGGTGTAGTTACAGTAGTAGGTCTGGTTGTAGTTTACAGTAGTAGGGTCTGGTGTAGTTACAGTAGTAGGGTCTGGTGTAGTGTATAGTAGTAGGGTCTGGGTGTAGTTACTGTAGTAGGTCTGGTTAGTTTACCGTAGTAGGGTCTGTGTAGTTACAGTAGAGTAGGGTCTGGTGTAGTTTACAGTAGTAGGGTCTGGTGTAGTGTACAGTAGTAGGGTCTGGTGTAAGTTAAGTAGTAGGGTCTGGTGTAGTTTACAGTAGTAGTAGGGTCTGGTTGTGTACAGTAGTAGGGTCTGGTGTAGTGTAACAGTAGTAGGGTCTGGTGAGTGTACAGTTAGTAGGGTCTGGTGTAGTGTACAGTAGTAGGTCTGTGTAGTTTACGTAGTGGGTCTGGTGTAGTTACAGAGTAGTAGGGTCTGGGTAGTGTACAGTAGTAGGGTCTGGTGTAGTGTACAGTCATAGTAGGTCTGGTATAGTGTACAGTAAGGTAGTGAGGTTCAGTGTGTGTCTGGTGTGTTACCAGTGTAGTAGGTCTGGTGTAGTTTACATAGTAGTAGGGTTCTGGTGTATTGTGTACAGTATAGTAGGTCTGGTAAGTGTACATAGTAGGGTCTGGTGAGGTACAGTAGTAGGGTCTGGTGTAGTTTATCAGTAGTAGTAGGGTCTGGTGTAGTTTACAGTAGTAGTAGGGTCTGGTGTAGTGTACAGTAGTTGAGGTCTGGTGTAGTTTACAGTAGTAGGGTCTGGTGTAGTGTACAGTAGCAGTAGGGTCTGGTGTAGTTTATAGTAGTAGGGTCTGGTGTAGTTTACAGTAGTAGTAGGGTCTGGTATAGTGTTCAGTAGTAGGGTCTGGTGTAGTTTACAGTAGAAGTAGGGTCTGGTGTAGTGTACAGTAGTAGGGTCTGGTGTAGTGTACAGTAGTAGGGTCTGGTGTAGTTTACAGTAGTAGTAGGGTCTGGTGTAGTTTACAGTAGTAGTAGGGTCTGGTGTAGTGTACAGTAGTAGGGTCTGGTGTAGTTTACAGTAGTAGTAGGGTCTGGTGTAGTGTACAGTAGTAGGGTCTGGTGTAGTGTACAGTAGCAGTAGGGTCTGGTATAGTGTACAGTAGTAAGGTATGGTGTAGTGTACAGTAGTGAGGTCTGGTGTAGTTTACAGTAGTAGTAGGGTCTGGTGTAGTGTATAGTAGTAGGGTCTGGTGTAGTGTACAGTAGTAGTAGGGTCTGGTATAGTGTACAGTAGTAGGGTCTGGTGTAGTGTACAGTAGTAGGGTCTGGTGTAGTTTACAGTAGTAGTAGGGTCTGGTGTAGTTTACAGTAGTAGTAGGGTCTGGTGTAGTGTACAGTAGTGAGGTCTGGTGTAGTTTACAGTAGTAGGGTCTGGTGTAGTGTACAGTAGCAGTAGGGTCTGGTATAGTGTACAGTAGCAGTAGGGTCTGGTATAGTGTACAGTAGTGAGGTCTGGTGTAGTTTACAGTAGTAGTAGGGTCTGGTGTAGTGTATAGTAGTAGGGTCTGGTGTAGTTTACAGTAGTAGGGTCTGGTGTAGCGTACAGTAGTAGGGTTTGATGTAGTTTACAGTAGTAGTAGGGTCTGGTATAGTGTACAGTAGTAGGGTCTGGTGTAGTGTACAGTAGTAGGGTCTGGTGTAGTGTACAGTAGTAGGGTCTGATGTAGTTTACAGTAGTAGGGTTTGGTGTAGTTTACAGTAGTAGTAGGGTCTGGTGTAGTGTACAGTAGTGAGGTCTGGTGTAGTTTACAGTAGTAGGGTCTGGTGTAGTGTACAGTAGCAGTAGGGTCTGGTATAGTGTACAGTAGCAGTAGGGTCTGGTATAGTGTACAGTAGTGAGGTCTGGTGTAGTTTACAGTAGTAGTAGGGTCTGGTGTAGTGTATAGTAGTAGGGTCTGGTGTAGTTTACAGTAGTAGGGTCTGGTGTAGCGTACAGTAGTAGGGTTTGATGGAGTTTACAGTAGTAGTAGGGTCTGGTATAGTGTACAGTAGTAGGGTCTGGTGTAGTGTACAGTAGTAGGGTCTGGTGTAGTGTACAGTAGTAGGGTCTGATGTAGTTTACAGTAGTAGGGTTTGGTGTAGTTTACAGTAGTAGTAGGGTCTGGTGTAGTGTACAGTAGTAGTATGGTCTGGTGTAGTTTACAGTAGTAGGGTCTGGTGTAGTTTACAGTAGTAGTAGGGTCTGGTGTAGTTTACAGTAGTAGGGTCTGGTGTAGTTTACAGTAGTAGGGTCTGGTGTAGTTTACAGTAGTAGTAGGGTCTGGTATAGTGTTCAGTAGTAGGGTCTGGTGTAGTTTACAGTAGTAGGGTCTGGTGTAGCATACAGTAGTAGGGTCTGGTGTAGTTTACAGTAGTAGGGTCTGGTGTAGCGTACAGTAGTAGGGTCTGGTGTAGTTTACAGTAGTAGGGTATGGTGTAGCATACATTAGTGAGGTCTGGTGTAGTTTACAGTAGTAGGGTCTGGTGTAGTGTATAGTAGTAATAGGGTCTGGTGTAGTTTACAGTAGTAGTAGGTTCTGGTGTAGTGTACAGTAGTAGGGTCTGGTGTAGTGTATAGTAGTAGTAGGGTCTGGTATAGTGTCCAGTAGTAGGGTCTGGGATGCTGTTTGTCGATGCCAGGCCTTACACGTAGGGAGGAGAGAGAGTGTAAAAGCTGACAGAATGCTCCAGAGACTCATACGAGTGAGCTGAGACTGTGTGTGTATTTGCATGAGTGTGTGTGTGTGTGTGTTTGCGTGGACCTGTTTAACTATACGTGTGTGTGTTTGTGTGTGTGTGTGTGTGTTTGTGTTGAACTATACGTGTGTGTGTGTGTGTTTGTGTGTGTGTGTGTGGACGTGTTTAACTATACGTGTGTGTGTGTGTGTGTGGACGTGTTTAACTATATGTGTGTGTGTGTATTTGTGTGTGTGTGTGCGCGTGTGTGTGTGTGTGTGCTGGGCGATACCCCACAAGACATGCCACCAGAGGTCTCTTCACAGTCCCCAAATCCAGAACAGACTATGGGAGGCACACAGTACTACATAGAGCCATGACTACATGGCACTCTATTCCACATCAAGTAGCTGATGCAAGTAGTAAAATTAGATTTAACAAACAGATAAAAAAAACACCTTATGGAACAGCGGGGACTGTAATATAACAGAAACATAGGTGCAGACACATGCATACACACACACGATAACATACGCACTATACACACACGTACACATGGATTTTGTACTGTAGATATGTGGTAGCTGTGGAGTAGGGGACCTGAGGGCACACAGTGTGCTGTGAAATCTGTCAATGTATTGTAATGTTTTTAAAATGGTATGAACTGCCTTAATTTTGCTGGACCCCAGGAAGAGTAGCTGCTACCTTGGCAGGAACTAATGGGGATCCATAATAAATACAAATACAGACAAACATCCATAACATGATAAATTACCTGAATTGATAGATAGAGCGATAATATGAACATTAATCTACACCACAGTTTTTTACAATTATTATTCTTTAAACAACTAATACTAGTTTGATGGTTGTAGCCATCAATTGTACCGTTAACAGTCAACCATATTAGCAAATTTATTTCATTTCAAATTTAGCATTTCTCTAGTATAGGCTACTGATCGTAATGAATGATATCAGTAAAATGCCTGTAATAAGTGATTGGTATGGTCGGTGTCGATCATTTTCGGTTTATGGTCCCAGCTCTAGTGTGTGCTGCCTGTTGGTCAGGCAATACAGCAACCCTTCTGGCTGATTGGAGGAGGAGAGGGAGAGAATATAAACATAATCTCAGATTACTTCTATTGGATTAGGATTAGGTGGGGAGTGGGGAGCCCAAATGACTCCACAGGGAGTGAAGGGAGCAACGAAAAATAAAAAATAATTTTGAGGAGTCTTCAAGAGGGTAATTGTGTTAAGTTTTGCCAAAATCAATACAGCCGTCAGATGTTCACCTGTTGTTGTTGTTGTTGCTCAGAAAATGACCATCTTAGTTCCCTCTGACTCTCCCCACCTCTGCACACACACACACACACACACACACACACACACAAGCGCACATACACGTACATAACCATAACCATATGGTCATAATAGCTCCCCTGACACTCCAGAATGTTGGCCAGAGAATATTCAACCCTTGTCACAATATATATTCACTGTTTCAACTGTATTTGGTTCAGTATTGTTTTAGTGCTTTTTCTACAAAGATTGTCTACTCCTGGGGTATGAATATTAAAGTAAATATTTGAAGGAGGTTTTGCAAATATTGGGTTTTGCAAATGACTACTTTCTACCTGAGGGGATATTTCACATAAGGATATTACAATGTGTAAACGCTGAGGTAGTGGGATCCATCCATCCATTCATCCATCCACACCTTGTTGTTTTTCAATCAGAAACAGTGTGTGTGTGTTTGCTTGCATGTGTGTGCGTGCGTGAGTGTGCTGTTTGACAATAGTGACAGACAAAGATCGAACGCAGCATAACACCAGACCATTACAGCAACCAAACCCAGGCAGAACTACAACACGTAGATAAATACAATACAATTCAATTATGCCCACAAAGCACAAAACATACAGTACCAGTCAAAGGTTTGGACACACCTGCTCATTCAAAGATTTTTCTTTATTTGTACTATTTTCTACATTGTAGAATAATAGTGAAGACATCACAACTATGAAATAACACATATGGAATCATGTAGTAACCAAAAAAGTGTTAATCAAATCCACAAATATTTTATATATTAGATTCTTCAAAGTAGCCACCCTTTGCCTTGATGACAGCTTTGCACACTCTAGGCATTCTCTCAACCAGCTTCACCTGGAATGCTTTTCCAACAGTCTTGAAGGAGTTCCCGCATATGCTCAGCACTTGTTGGCTGCTTTTCCTTCACTCTGCAGTCCAACTCATCCCAAACCATCTCAATTGGGTTGAGGTCGGGGGATTGTGGAGGCCAGGTCATCAGATGCAGCACTCCATCACTCTCCTTCTTGGTCAAATAGCCCTTACACAGCCTGGAGGTGTGTTGAGTCATTGTCCTGTTGTAAAACAAATGATAGTCCCACTAAGCGCAAACCAGATGGGATGGAGTATCGCTGCAGAATGCTGTGGTAGCAATGCTGGTTAAGTGTGCCTTGAATTCTAAATAAATCACTGACAGTCTCATCAGCAAAGCACCCCCACTCCATCACACCTCCTCCTCCATGCTTCATGGTCGGAAACACACATGCGGAGATCATCCGTTCACCTACTCTGCGTCTCACAAAAACATGGCGGATGGAACCAAAAAACTCACATTTGGACTCATCAGACTAAAGGACAGATTTCCACTGGACTAATGTCTAATGCTCATGTTTATTGGCCCAAGCAAGTCTCTTCTTCTTATTGGTGTCCTTTAGTAGTGGTTTCTTTGCAGCAATTCAACCATGAAGGCCTGATTCACGCAGTCTCCTCTGAACAGTTGATGTTGAGATGTGTCTGTTACTTGAACTCTGTGAAGCATTTATTTGGGCTGCAATTTCTGAGGCTGGTAACTCTAATGAACTTATCCTCTGCAGCAGAGGTAACTCTGGGTCTTCCTTTCCTGTGGCGGTCCTCATGAGAGACAGTTTCATCATAGCGCTTGATGGTTTTTGGGACTGCACTTGAAGAACCTTTCAAAGTTCTTGACATTTTCCTGATTGACTGACATTCATGTCTTAAAGTAATGATGGACTGTTGTTTCTCTTTGCTTATTTGAGCTGTTCTTGCCATAATATCGATTTGGTCTTTTACCAAATAGGGCTATCTTCTTTATACCACCCCTCCTTGTCACAACCCAACTGATTGGTTCAAATGCATTAAGAAGGTAAGAAATTCCACAAATTAACTTTTAACAAGGCACACCTGTTAATTGACATGAATTCCAGGTGAATACCTCATGAAACTGGTTGAGAGAAGGCCAAAAGTGTGCAAAGCTGTCATCAAGGCAAAGGGTGGCTACTTTGAAGAATCTCAAATATAAAATATATTTTGATTTGTTTAACACTTTTTTGGTTACTACATGATTCCATATGTGTTATTTCATAGTTTTGATGTCTTCACTATTATTCTACAATGTAGAAAATAGTAAAAATAAAGAAAAGGTTTGGAATGAGTAGGTGTGTCCAAACTTTTGACTGGTACTGTATATTTATTTCCCTTTCACCAATTAAGTCCTGCTCCTTTAATGTTCCTTCCAGCTGTATCATTCATCGGAGAACCCTTGGATTGGTTAAAGGTCCTGATGGATTGGGGAAAAAAACTCAATTTTCATCAGCGTTTGTTCCAAGACCCCTACCAATATTGTGTGTGTGTTTGTGTGTGTGTTTGTTTGTGTGTGTGTGTGTGTTTGTGTTTGTGTTTGTGTGTGTTTGTGTGTGTGTGTGTTTGTGTGTGTGTGTTTGTGTGTGTGTGTGTGTTTGTGTGTGTGTGTGTGTGTGTGTGTGTGTGTGTGTGTGTGTGTGTGTGTGTGTGTGTGTGTGTGTGTGTGTGTGTGTGTGTGTGTGTCCTGCTGCTGCTGCTCTCCTATCGATTCCCTCTTGCACGGCTCTTATCAAGATTGCGTGAACCCAGTGTTTCATCAATAGGCACTGAAGTTGCCAGTGATACTAATCATCCGCCACATGTCAACACAAGATGGACACACACATGCAGGAATGCACGCAAACACAGAAGCATGCACATGGATGTTCACACACAAAAAAAGACACACGCACAAACACACACACACACACACACACAGATACACAGCTCTGGTCTGTAATTCATTGAGTACGCTTAGCCTTAGTAGGTAGCGTTAGCTTGTAGCATTAACTATGCATGCTCAGGAGAATACACTCAGAAAAAAGAACCGTTTTGATCAGAAGAACCCTTTTTGGAAGACAAGGGTTCTTTGTAAGCCAAAGGGTTCTACCTAAAACCTGTAACATCCTAAGAACCATTTTAAGAAGAAAGGGTTCTTTGATGATTCTTTGGAAGGCAAGAAGAGTTCTACATAGAACCATATATATTATTTCCCAGTATGCTCTATTGCAAGGAGATTTTCAGAATTGTATGTTTTACTGTAATATATGTGTTTTTGCATGTACATTGATTGGTTAATACATTTGATGCTACACAAACATAAATAACATACAGTTTTCTTAATGAATCCAATCTGTTGGATTTATTGCACCTGTTACTGAGATGGTTGTTCCAGTTTAGATGATTGAGGTAGTCTCAATATTCAATCTTCCATACCCTGGCAGTCATTCTGAATGCAGGTTGCGGGTGATTAACAATTCCACTTGTTGGATATCCTAACTCTGGCTGGATTCCACAATTGGCCCAGCGTCGTCCAGGGTAGGGGAGGGAATGGCCGGCAGGGATGTAGCTCAGTTGATAGAGCATGGCGTTTGCAACGCCAGGGTTGTGGGTTTGATTCCCACGGGGGGCCAGTATAAAAAATAAAAAAAAAAGATCTATTCGCTAACTGTAAGTCGCTCTGGATAAGAGCGTCTGCTAAATGACTAAAATGTAAATGTAAATGTAAATAGGAATTACACATCACTTTGCAAGCCACCATAATGTGACTTGCAGGTCTGATGTGGCATGTAAACCTGTCACGTCTCCTCCCGTTGCTCCCCTCTGGCGCTCTGATTCGCCGGTCTACTGAGCCACCGGTCTGAGCGCACCACCTCGGCAACACCAGAATGGAAACCAAACGCACCCTAATCACCTCCAGCGCACCTGCACCTCATCATCTCATCACCACCCCTATATAGCCCTGGACTGTTCAGTGTTGTGTGTGCTTGTTAGTGTGTCTTGTCGTGTACTCGCTCTTTGTTGTTCTCTTGCTCATTGTTAAGTAAACCTTTACATTGTTGATTCCTGCGTCTGCGTCCTGCCTCTTCGTATCCTCAGTACTCGTCACAAAACCAGGAGATCCCTAACACCTCTGTGTTAGGGTATAACTAGGCCCTCAAAGAAAGGACTTCTGATATAAGTAATGTATTGTCATAAACAATACTATTTTAAAGGCTAATATGGCCGGTGGAACCGTTTATAGAGGTTTCTAGGAATAACCCTCCAAAGATAAAAGGGTTCTAGGTAGAACCCTTCATAGACGCTTCTAGGAAGCTTACCAAATACTTATTTTTATGTCTACTGCTTACCAAGGACTTATGTTTTTAATTAGTAACAAGTGTTTAACATTTTATGAATGTTAGAATGGCAGTATCTTTTCATTACTATACCAACCAACTATCCTCTTTCTCCCTTGCGGCGGAAGACATGGCATGCATTGGCGAATTTGCATTCTATTAAAATACAAAGTAGCATATCAATTTCTGTTGTTCAAGGGTGTCTTTATATGAGAAAAAGATATGTGGAGAAAAAGTGGAGAGATGGGGAGAAAAGGAAATGAAACGATGGAGAGATGGGGAGAAAAAGTGAGGGAGAGAAGCATGAGAAAATAGAGGAGGAGAGAGAGAAGGGATAGAGAGAAAAGAAAAACAGAGAGAGAAGGATGAAGATCTCCAGTGCTTAAGTTTTTTTAAGAGCAGCCCTCGTGTCACATTCACGGTTTGTGTGTGTGTGTGTGTGGATATGTGTGCATGTATGTATTATGCTTACAGTTAAATGTAAACAAAAAAACAGCCAAAATCTAAATGTACAGTACATAACCTAAAAGGGGACGCATCCATAAATGCCGTAACATACCGCATCCTTCAAAGACCTACTGTATGGCGCACAAAATGTATATCAATCTCACCATATGGGAAAATAGGTGGGCCTATTTCTGTGCTGGCTTAAAAAAAAAAAAAAAAAAGAATGAACTAAGCATAAAGAAACATGTTTCCTCTTTTTCTAAGAAACAGGTGGGCCATAGATTTTAAGAAGACTGATTGCATTATCTTTAATAGGTGTTCTATACTGTTTTGTGTTCCTTTAGGAACCATGTCCTCTATCTATTTGTAATAACTGAAGACAATGCTTTACCTGTTCCATACAGCTATTTGAATCAGCATTGAGGTACAGTTTGTTCTGTCTGTATGTCTGGTACCACTGTGTGTTGTTGTGCTCTGGGTGCATTTACTTTACCCTGGCTAGCTAGCCCTGGCTGCTGATGTTGTCATAGATTAGTACAGATCACAGGAGGTTGGTGGCACCTTCATTGGGGAGGACAGACTCGTGGTAATGACTGGAGCGGAATTAGTGGAATGGTATCAAATACAGCAAACACATGGGTTCCATGTGTTTGATGCCATTCCATTTGCTCCATTCCAGACATTATTATGGGCTGTCCTCCCCTCAGCAGCCTCCACTGCAACAGATCTATCTACCAAATAAAGATGACTAATTCAGCATGGGAGAATGTTCAAATACAGAGCCAATGATGACTCATAAAACAAGCCTGGCTCCTCTAACGCTCTACTTCTCACAAACTTAAAACCAAAGTTAAATACAATCGTCTCTTCTGCTTCAAGTGCTTTATGTGTGTGTAAGGAACCCAAACAATACATGCAGTGTTAAGTGTAAGGGGAGGGGAGGGTGGTGTACTTGATAACAGTCCAGATAACAGAGTAAAGAGGGACTGAGGGAGTGAATCTGTCTCTCGCTAGCGAGAGAGAGAGGAGAAGCGAGAGAGAGAGCGAAGAGGAGAGGAGAGCGAGCGAGAGAGCGAGAGAGAGCAGAGCGAGAGAGTAGAGAGAGGCTCTCCTCTCTCTATGCTTCTCTCTCGGGGTTTCATCTCTCTCTCTCTCTCTCTCTCTCTCTCTTCTCTCTCTCTATCTCTCAGTCTCTCTCTCTCATCTCTCTCTCTCTCAGCTCTCGCTATCTATCCCTCTCACTCACTCACACACTCACACTCACACTCACAATATCTAAGCCACACCAGCTATTAACTCCTATTCTCACTTTTTCTATATTTTGCTCAGTGTTGGTTCACTCAGCAGATGTATGTCACCATATGTCTGTATACAGCAGTGTCTGATGGGAAATATCACATACAGTATATCCATGGGGGTTCAATGAGTCACTTGTTCATTTTCAGAGTGAATGTTAGTGGAACATTTCCATTCACATGAAGTACTGTAGCTATACATGTGTGATTAACTACTGTATGACGACATAACCATTGAATCATTTTATTTTGACAGGGAGTCATGCTGAGACCAAGCTCTCTTTTACAGATGAGCCTTGTATACACATCAATACAAGTGTCATCATGCTCTTATATAGATACAGTATACTGTATATAGATATATACAGTTGAAGTCGGAAGTTTACATACACTTAGGTTGGAGTCATTAAAACTCGTTTTTCCACCACTCCACAAATTCCTTGTTAACATGCATGCATGCTTTGTGGGTGGGGGGGCCTGCGGAGTCGGCGGTGTGTCGGGTACTTGTTCTCCCCACTGTATATAGGTTGTATGTTGGGAGCTTTTGGGAAAGAGCACAGTTAGAAAGATATGGCATATAGAAGCAAACCGGATGGACATCATGAAAATGATCGGAGAGGTTGAGAGTAGAAGAAGTTCAGGAGCAAAAAAATTAATAATATATATATATATATATATATATATATATAATAGAATTATTGTAAAATTAACTCTGTCCATAAGGTGTAGATAGTAAGTATAGACCGGAAGTAGAGGCCTGGGCATTGTTGTTCACTAATTTACTCCAAGTAGGGAAAGGATGGTGGGGTTGAAAAGTAATAAAGGGGAGTATATATATAAAAATAAAAAAAATAAAAAAATAAAAAAACACTTCCTTGTTAACAAACTATAGTTTTGGCAAGTCGGTTAGGACATCTACTTTCTGCATGACACAAGATTATTTCATTTATAATTCACTGTATCACAATTCCAGTTGGTCAGAAGTTTACATACACTAAATTGACTGTGCCTTTAAAAAGCTTGGAATATTCCAGAAAATGATGTCATGGCTTTAAAAGGTTCTGATTGGCTAATTGACATCATTTGAGTCAATTGGAGGTGTACCTGTGGATGTATTTCAAGGCCTACCTTCAAACTCAGTGCCTCTTTGCTTGACATCATGGGAAAATCAAAAGAAATCAGCCAAGACCTCAGAATAAAAAATGGAGACCTCCACCAGTCTGGTTCATCCTTGGAAGCAATTTCCAAACGCCTGAAGGTACCACGTTCATCTGTACAAACAATAGTACGCAAGTATAAACACCATGGGACCACGCAGCCATCATACCGCTCAGGAAGGAGACGCATTCTGTCTTCTAGAGATGAACGTACTTTGGTGCGAAAAGTGCAAATCAATCCCAGAACAACAGCAAAGGACCTTGTGAAGATGCTGGAGGAAACAGGTACAAAAGTATCTATACCACAGTAAAACGAGTCCTATATCGACATAACCTGAAAGGCCGCTCAGCAAGGAAGAAGCCACTGCTCCAAAACCGCCATAAAAAAGCCAGACTACGGTTTGCAACTGCACATGGGGACAAAGATCGTACTTTTTGGAGAAATGTCCTCTGGTCTGATGAAACAAAAATAGAACTGTTTGGCCATAATGACCATCGTTATGTTTGGAGGAAAAAGGGGGATGCTTGCAAGCCGAAGAACACCATCCCAACCGTGAAGCACGGGGGTGGCAGCATCATGCTGTGGGGGTGCTTTGCAGCAGGAGGGACTGGTGCACTTCACAAAATAGATGGCATCATGAGGAAAGAAAATGATGTGGATATATTGAAGCAACATCTCAAGACATCAGTCAGGAAGTTAAAGCTTGGTCGAAAATGGGTCTTCCAAATGGACAATGACCCCAAGCATACTTCCAAAGTTGTGACAAAATGGCTTAAGGACAACAAAGTCAAGGTATTGGAGTGGCCATCACAAAGCCCTGACCTCAATCCTATAGAACATTTGTGGGCAGAACTGAAAAAGCATGTACCAGCAAGGAGGCCTACAAACCTGACTCAGTTACACCAGCTTTGTCAGGAGGAATGGGCCAAAATTCACCCAACTTATTGTGGGAAGCTTGTGGAAGGCTACGCGAAACGTTTGACCCAAGTTAAACAATTTAAAGGCAATGCTACCAAATACTAATTGAGTGTATGTAAACTTCTGACCCACTGGGAATATAATGAAAGAAATAAAAACTGAAATAAATCATTCTCTCTACTATTATTCTGACATTTTACATTCTTAAAATAAAGTGGTGATGTTAACTGACCTAAAACAGGGAATTGTTACTAGGATTAAATGTCAGGAATTGTGAAAAACTGAGTTTAAATGTATTTGGCTAAGGTGTATGTAAACTTCCGACTTCAACTGTATACTGTATATATAATATTTATGTCCTGATTTATATGGCATTAATGCCAATATTGCTTAAACAACCACTGCTAAATTGAAATAGAAATTCAGTTTGTTTCATGCATGACGTCACAATATGATGTCATGAGGCAAATATGTCTGTGCAATGATCTTCATGCACTAAAAAGCTGTCAGAATTTTAATTCAATCATCACTTGTGTCTCTATACTTTCCTGTCACATAATATGTACTCACTAACCAATAGTGTAAAGTCTACAAAGAGAGTAAAAATGATGAGGGTTAAAATGTTGAATGTTTGGCTCTACCTGGTAACCTCTTCTGCCATTACATGGTGGTTGGTATAAAAACCCAACCCTGTGCTGTTGAATAGGAATGATAATTGGGTCTAATGTAAAATGAGATGGTTATTGTGCAAGCTGAAGGTCATTGTGCAGCATAACAGCTATTATGCTTGGTAAAGGCCTTTTCCAAAATATTGTATTTCTTTTTAACTGGATGGCTGCGGTAAGAGAGAGAGCGCGCAAGAGAGAGAGAAACAGAGAGAGTGAAAATTGAGAAACAGAGAAAGAGAGATAGAGATAGATTCAGGACCTATGTCTGTGTCTGATACAGGCTTCACAAACAGCACAGCACCTGAGGGAAATGGGCAAACTGCCCCTGCCATAACCTTTAACCTATCCCCAGGACAGACTCCGGCAAACAACCACTTCCCAAGGCAGGCTACGTACCACACCCTGTTCCCCAGGCTCCAGCCCATAACCAAATCCCAAGGCTCTAACCATCACATTTCAGGATCTCTGGAGCTGTGAGGCTCTCTTAGAGCTGCTCTATGGAGAGGAACACTTTGTACAGTCCTCCCCCGCTCCTCTCTTCTCCCTCCCCCCCCTCCGTCCCCCGTTCCTCAGCCCAAATTCACAGCTCATAATGCCACGAAGATGCTGCTAGACAGGGCTGGTTCCTTATCATCTCTTTCCGCTAGCGGTAGAGAGAGGGGAGCTGTAGAGGCGAGAGGAGATAGAGAGTGAGAAACTCAATTATCTCTCGCTCCCCCCTCAAACTACTCGCTCCCCCTCCCCCCCCCCCCTCTCTCTCTCTCTCTCTCTCTCTCTGTACTAGTTCACAGTTTCATCAGAATAGATACAGAAGATATTATAAACTAAACAATATCCATATTGGCTTTAACCCAGTTGCTTGTAACGGACTTCAGTTTGAGAGTGAATGGCAAGACCCCACTGGGCAAAAACTTGTTGAATCAACATTTGTTTCCACGTCATTTCAACAAACTATTCATTGTGATGATGTTGAATCAACGTGGAAAACTGATTAGATTAGCAAAAAGTCATCAACGTAAGGGAATCTTTTTTTCACCCAACTTTTAACCTAAATCCAATGAAATTGTGGTTTATGTATTTATTATTTCACATTTAATTGATGTTAGTTAACAACTCAACCAAATGTAAATCAAAGATAGACGTTGAACTAACGTCTGTGCCCAGTGGGATGGCGACATCAGCGCAGATGATATGTGAGGCTCAGGGAGAAGCTAGGAGAAGCAGGGGGCTGATGTAAAGGGATTAAAACCCTGTTGGCATGCTGCTGCCATACTGTAGCTACAGAGCATGAAGCTAGCTGGCGCTGACTGTGTATGGGCACATTTGGTGACTGTATATGGGCACATTTGGTGACTGTGTATGGGCACATTTGGTGACTGTGTATGGGCACATTTGGTGACTGTGTATGGGCACGTTTGGTGACTGTGTATGGGCACGTTTGGTGACTGTGTATGGGCACGTTTGTTGACTGTGTATGGGCACGTTTGGTGACTGTGTGTGGGCACGTTTGGTGACTGTGTATGGACACGTTTGGTGACTGTGTATGGTCACATTTGGCAGAAACTCACTCTTCTGGTGGTGCTTTTCCTACATCAAGGATTTTTGTTGCTTTTATCTCCCTCTCTCTGTCTCTATCTGTGTGTGAACGTGAGTATGTGGGTGGGCATATCGTCTGCCGCCAATGTAAATATATGGGTCCTGTTTGAAAACGCAGGCTGGCATCATGAATCTTCAACAACGGGAGACAGAATAGACTCATGCTGTAATATAAATCCTGCTGGGATCAGCGATGCAAATAAGATAAATATTACACGGATTGAGTGAAAGTTAAAAGAGGAGAGAAGCTAAGCTAAACACCCCATAGAAATACAGCAGTATGAATGAGGCGTCTAGGTACCCTACTGATCTCATTTTAGGACAGCGATAGATAGATAGGCAGAAGAACTAGAGGAGGCTTCCTCCTCTTCCCCTGAGGTAGATGGAAGGTCACACACACACTAATTAAGGGGTTGTGTTGTTAGGGGGAAAGTGAGTGAGTGAGCAGCGAAATGTTTCTGTTTAAAACAGGTTGTTGATGAGGGGAAGAAGGGGGAAAACTTGTTAACCAATGGAATAACAGGGTGTTGAGGTAGTGCACGCACACACACACACACACACACACACACACACACACACACACACACACACACACACACAGCCCCTGGAGGGCGTTGGCTGCTGCTCTACACTGGTGTTGTTGTCCCATTATACTTCTGGGAGGGGAGGTTGGAAGAATGGGAGAATAGGAGTGGAGGAGGAGAAGGATGGAGGGAAAGAGGGGAGGGGGAGAGGTGGTAATGATCCAGCTATAGCGCATGAGCTCATGCCCCTGTGCCTCTGTCGCTCTACTGGGACAAGACCATTAACTGTCCAATCACTCCTCCTCTTCTCTGTCTCTCTACTGGGACAAGACCATTCACTGTCCAATCACTCCTCTTCTTCTCTTCTCTGTCTCTCCACATCCCTCTCCTCCTTCAATCCACTTCTCCTCTCTGGGTTTCATCCCATTGCTCCAGTGAGCCTTAGACCTCATTGTAGAAATCAACAAGCAGATGTATGGCACTGGAGATATATGTCAAGCCATGCATGGGAGGACACTCAAATCAGTACTTCAATACCTGACCATACTGTAGGCTATATAATTAATGTCTCTCCTAGCTCACTAAAACCCCAGCTCACAGCCTATGCTTTAGCTCAGTGGACTAAAACAGTTGTGTGGTAGGCATGAGTCTGTCAAACTAGCTCAGTAAAACCATAGCTACGTACATTCTCCAACAGGACAGCCTAAGAGGTCTTGTGTTGTGCACTGCTTTTTATGTGCTTTCCAGAGCCTCTCCAGTTCTCTATCTCTATTGGTATCTATCCTAGTTTGTTCTTTGTATGTGCTTTCCTTTCCAGCTCACTGAGGCTGCATTTACACAGGGAGCCCAATTCTGATCTTTTAACCAATTATTGACAAAAGAGCTGATCTGATTAGTCAAAAGCCCAATAAGTGAATATCAGAATTGGACTACCTGTGTAAAGGCAGCCTGAGAGCCAATGAAGTCCAGTGTTACTGAACCCAAACCGTAGGCGTGGGGTGGGTTCCCATTACGCTAAACACTAATTGAGCTGTCCATTAGGTAGAAGGAGGTATTAGTGTACAAACGTATTAGTATTAGTTATAAAACAGCTGAGAGCAGCAAGAGAAGAGGAACCGTGGAACGTCATAGTCAATATCAATGCAGACATGCAGACACAAACATCCTTTTAGCTATTGTACTTTATTTTTTATTTTTGTATAGATTACATTATATACTGATACCAACAATGTATAGATAATGTAATGTATTATAACCTGGGTGGTTCGAGCCCTGAATGCTGATTGGCTGACAGACGTGGTATATCAGACCGTATACCATGGGTATGACAAAACATTTATTTTTACTGCTCTAATTACGTTGGTAACCAGTTTATAATAGCAATAAGGCACCTCGGGAGTTTGTGATATATGGCCAATATACCACGGCTAAGGGCTGTGTCCAGGCACTCCGTGTTGCGCCGTGCTTAAGAACAGCCCTTAGCCGTGATATATTGGCCATATACAGTGGCTTGCGAAAGTATTCAATTTTAGTCTCATCTGACCAGAGAACCTTCTTCCATATGTTTGGGGAGTCTCTCACATACCTTTTGGCGAACACCAAACGTGTTTGCTTATTTTTTTCTTTAAGCAATGGCTTTTTTCTGGCCACTCTTCCGTAAAGCCCAGCTATGTGGAGTGTACAGCTTAAAGTGGTCCTATGGACAGATACTCCAATCTCCGCTGTGGAGCTTTGCAGCTCCTTCAGTGTTCTCTTTGGTGTCTTTGTTGCCTCTCTGATTAATGCCCTCCTTGCCTGGTCCGTGAGTTTTGGTGGGCGGCCCTCTCTTGGCAGGTTTGTTGTGGTGCCATATTCTTTCCATTATTTAATAATGGATTTAATGGTGCTCCGTGGGATGTTCAAAGTTTCTGATCTTTTTTTATAACCCAACCCTGATCTGTAATTCTCTACAACTTTGTCCCTGACCTGTTTGGAGAGCTCACTGGTCTTCATGGTGCTGCTTGCTTGGTGGTGTCACCTTGCTTAGTGGTGTTGCAGACTCTGGGGCCTTTCAGAACAGGTGTATATATACTGAGATCATGTGACGGATCATGTGACACTTAGATTGCACACAGGTGGACTTTATTTAACTAATTATGTGACTTCTGAAGGTAATTTATTGCACCAGATCTTATTTAGGGGCTTCATAGCAAAGGGGGTGAATACATACAGTGGGGAAAAAAAGTATTTAGTCAGCCACCAATTGTGCAAGTTCTCCCACTTAAAAAGATGAGAGAGGCCTGTAATTTTCATCATAGGTAAAACTACAGACAAATTCAGAGAAAGAAAATCCAGAAAATCACATTGTAGGATTTTTTATGAATTTATTTGCAAATTATGGTGCAAAATAAGTATTTGGTCACCTACAAACAAGCAAGATTTCTGGCTCTCACAGACCTGTAACTTCTTCTTTAAGAGGCTCCTCTGTCTTTCACTCGTTACCTGTATTAATGGCACCTGTTTGAACTTGTTATCAGTATAAAATACACCTGTCCACAACCTCAAACAGTCACACTCCAAACTCCACTATGGCCAAGACCAAAGAGCTGTCAAAGGACACCAGAAACAAAATTGTAGACCTGCACCAGGCTGGGAAGACTGAATCTGCAATAGGTAAGCAGCTTGGTTTGAAGAAATCAACTGTGGGAGCAATTATTAGGAAATGGAAGACATACAAGACCACTGATCATCTCCCTCGATCTGGGGCTCCACGCAAGATCTCACCCCGTGGGGTCAAAATGATCACAAGAACGGTGAGCAAAAATCCCAGAACCACACAGGGGGACCTAGTGAATGACCTGCAGAGAGCTGGGACCAAAGTAACAAAGCCTACCATCAGTAACACACTACGCCGCCAGGGACTCAAATCCTGCAGTGCCAGACGTGTCCCCCTGCTTAAGCCAGTACATGTCCAGGCCCGTCTGAAGTTTGCTAGAGTGCATTTGGATGATCCAGAAGAGGATTGGGAGAATGTCATATGGTCAGATGAAACCAAAATATAACTTTTTGGTAAAAACTCAACTCGTCGTGTTTGGAGGACAAAGAATGCTGAGTTGCATCCAAAGAACACCATACCTACTGTGAAGCATGGGGGTGGAAACATCATGCTTTGGGGCTGTTTTTCTGCAAAGGGACCAGGACGACTGATCCGTGTAAAGGAAAGAATGAATGGGGCCATGTATCGTGAGATTTTGAGTGAAAACCTCCTTCCATCAGCAAGGGCATTGAAGATGAAACGTGGCTGGGTCTTTCAGCATGACAATGATCCCAAACACACCGCCCGGGCAACGAAGGAGTGGCTTCGTAAGAAGCATTTCAAGGTCCTGGAGTGGCCTAGCCAGTCTCCAGATCTCAACCCCATAGAAAATCTTTGGAGGGAGTTGAAAGTCCGTGTTGCCCAGCGACAGCCCCAAAACATCACTGCTCTAGAGGAGATCTGCATGGAGGAATGGGCCAAAATACCAGCAACAGTGTGTGAAAACCTTGTGAAGACTTACAGAAAACGTTTGACCTGTGTCATTGCCAACAAAGGGTATATAACAAAGTATTGAAAAACTTTTGTTATTGACCAAATACTTATTTTTCACCATAATTTGCAAATAAATTCATTAAAAATCCTACAATGTGATTTTCTGGAGAAAAAAAATCTCATTTTGTCTGTCATAGTTGACGTGTACCTATGATGAAAATTACAGGCCTCTCTCATCTTTTTAAGTGGGAGAACTTGCACAATTGGTGGCTGACTAAATACTTTTTTTCCCCACTGTATGCACGCACCACTTTTCCATTATTCATTTTTTAGAGTTCATTTTTTTCATTCCACTTCACCAATTTTGACTATTGTGTGTATGTCCATTACATGAAATCCAAATAAAAATCCATTTAAATTACAGGTTGTAATGCAACAAAATTGGAAAAACGCCAAGGGGGATGAATACTTCTGCAAGGCACTGTACATGTTTGGTGTGTGTGAATTTGTGTACAAGGATTTGTATTCATACGTGACAGTACAATGCCTCTACTAGAGTTTGTTTGGGTATTAGGGATGTCAGTGGATTCGTCACACCATATTCTACCTCCCTCCATCCATGATCCATCTGAGAAACACCAATTCCCTGCATTTGAGACTATACTCAAACCTCAATCAACACATCTCCTTTTCAGCCTCTGACTGACCCTTCATGAGATAAGCTAACCCCCTAACTCCTGGGTCCAGCGCCCCAACGCTGCTCCACTCCTTCTCCTCTGCTGCCTGGGAACAGGGAACAGGAGCAGGGGAGCTACGCAGCGCAGGCCTGATGAGTTCATTATGAACACGATTGAGGTGCAAATCAGTGGTGAATTGAGAGGTTGATGAAGTTAGCATTCTTGTAATATAGTAGTCGAGCCTCTGCAATTCACTTTACTCCTCCGATCCTCTTGTCGTTTGGTCCTCAAGGGCTTTTTAATGACGCTGGTGAAGAGGTGCCAACGTGGCTCTTTCTGGAAATGGTATGGAAATGATCATGTCTAGTGTTTGTGTGTGTTTTGTCTATTTACTTTGGATGTTATTGTGGGACAGAATGTGCATGTTTATATCTATGTCTGTCCAAGGTTTTCTTAGGTGTTTGAAGTGGAAATGAGATGGAAAGAAGCTAAAGAAAGACTACCCCCTAATTCTCAATACTGATACACCTATGGGCTCTGGTCAAAAGTAGTGCACTAAATAGGGAATTTGGGACACAGATGTTCAGCGCAGGGAGAGCCTGATGGAAGGTTAGGATTTGGAGGATTAATGCTGTATTAATATAACAAGATAAGTGAAGTGGATCGGCCCAACTCATTAGCCACATGAAAGCCAGGGTCAGATCTTGGCGATATATCAAAGCAAAGATAATGAAGGAAATAAGTGGCGGTAGGTAGTGCAGTATGGTTTTAAATAGCCATGGAGGGGTGCATTTCATTCCAAGAAGATATTCCCTCCCTTCATATCCTCATGTTCACTCCCCTTCACAGATCTGACAGAACTGGGCAGGGGAAAGCAATATGGCAGAAACTATGTAGAGCTATTGCGTACACCTACCCACTTGTCTCAGATCCATGAAGGGGAGTGGAGGGCAAAGGGGAGGGATCATATTCCTGGAATGAAATGCAGCCCAGCAACACCAATCTTCAAGGAGAGTAGGTCTGCATCCCAAATGGCACACTATCCCCTATATACTGTAATGCAATACTTTTGACCTGAGCCCTATAGGCCATGGTAAAAAGTAGTGCACTACATACGGAATATAGTGCCATTTGAGATGCATCCAAGGTCTGCCTAGCAACAACTCCGGGTCTCATGGCTTCACATCCTGTAGAGAGACTGTTGGCAGGAGTGACAGGATAGGCCAGCCCTTTAAACATCCAGGTGGTGAGGCTAGGTAGCTGCTGGGGCTGCAAGATTCTAGTAACTTTCCCAAAAATTCTCTCCTAATTTTGGGAATGTTCCAACCAGGATTTCTGGTAACCCTGGGAATTTTGGGAAAGTGAATATTGTTCAAGCCTAGCTTCCGACACTGTATTGGTCACCTGGACTGCATTATTTAGGGTTGATGGGTACAGGACTTCAATTGACTTACTGATACAGTAAAAATTGTCCTGCCATTAGTTTCCCGTACTTATATACTAAGGTGCTGGAAGGATATGGCAGGAAAGATAACACGATGTCAAGCTAGTGTTAAAAAGAGAAAGATGTAATTCCCGGTTCTGGGTGATAGTAGCATGGTACCACAATGGACCTTGATGTTCTTGGCGTGAGATTAACCATACACTGAATCCTGGTCATGCCAGAGTTGGACAGCAGATAGTTCCAAGATGGCGTAGTAGTGCGGTCGTGTATTGTGTTGTGTCCTCGTGTAAATAGCCTGTTGTTTTTTATTCTTATATATTTCTCCATCTCACTTTCCATCCTTTAACTAAATATACTTTCCTGCAACCCGCCTCACCCAATGTGTAACGGATTCTATTATTTCTTTATTTTTATCAAGAACCTACGGCTGAAACTAGCCAGCTAGCCAGCTAGCCAGCTAACTAGCTACTTGCTATTAGCCACCGTTAGCGGTCTTCACCACTGTCCGTGGCCTGCACTACCTACCAGCCAGCTCTAGCCTGGACAATTATCGGCCAGTCTGCATAGCGTGCTATCGACCCAGAGCATATCGGATTTTCTGCCGGAATCACTTAATCACTGGACCTTAACACCGGACCATCGCAACTAGCTAGCTGCAACCGAATGGCTGTTGTTGGCTAATCACCACTTCCCAACGTACCAGTTAGTCTTGAGCTAGCCTCGAGCCAGGCCCATCTCCCGGCTATCTACCTCTCTGTCAACCGGACGGAACCTACTAGTGTCGACACGGAGCCCCGCCGATCCATCACGACTGGTCTGCCGACGTAATCGTCTGATGTGGTTTGAACAGGCTTCCCGTTGCAACGACGAGATCGTCTACTTGCCCATGCCCCCCCCCCCCCCCGCTTCTCCTTCACCCACATTCAGACAGCTGATGTCCTGAAAGAGCTGCTGAATCTGGACCCCTACAAATCAGCTGGGCTAGACAATTGGACCCTTTCTTTCTAAAATTAGCCGCCGAAATTGTCGCAACCCCTATTACTAGCCTGTTCAACCTCTCTTTTGTATCGTCTGAGATCCCAAGAGATTGGAAAGCTACCGCGGTCATCCCCCTCTTCAAAGGGGGTGCCAAACTTTTAGGGTTCTTTTCACGGGGTAGAAGTGGTATGTCTTAAGGGGGAAAACACATGTATTTTGGGCTTTTGTTTACTGAATGATCAGTAACTACATGTGATTTCTTTTGAAAAGAGCTGTACTAAGGACTTAATGTATACTTGGTATACACAACATTAATGAGATGTTTTGAATGTTGGTAATGTTTAGTATACTATTGGATGGAACAATTAATTGAATGATTTCAATGATCTCTGCAATCTTTCCTGGCTTTATAGTGTGACTTGATCACCCACACTGTAAATCCTAGAGGTATGCTGAATTGGGGGTTGGTTATAATAAGGAATTGTGAAGAAGTATATAAATTGGCATTAATCCTATATATCTTTAGAGACCTTCAAGACCATCTAGATCTTCAGGATATTTCATACATCCAAGACGCACCAGATATCCCCATCATTGATTTCTCTGCCCTTGATTAGTTCCCCTAAAAATAAGGGGAATAGCATACTGACAGTAGTGAAGAGCAAAATATCAAGACATAGAGATATAGATAGGATTAAAATGTATATTCCTGCGCAAGCAGGAACCATAACTAGAATACAGAATGGGTTCACTATTAAAGTACAAGGGTTAAACTGGTTGTTGGTGTGGGAGGAACCAGCACAAGGGGTATGGGGAAACCACATGGGGTAACTGTGACTTTAAGATAATAAAATAAAAAGACAGGTGGATCATAGACATAAGAGTAGAAGCCCAAGACTTATATAAACAATTTGATGTAGTACTTAGTGCTACATTTCCAGGGGGAGTGTTGGTGAAGTAGTTATTCCTTGGGAAAGTGCACTAAACCCTGTACATGTTAGAGCCATACCAACTGCAGAAGAAAGGGAATGGAAGGAGTCGTTAGACAATGATTGGTATAGATGAGCACAATATATTACGTTAAAATTAAATAAAGAAGATAGTCTAGTATGCATCACATCTCCTGTAAAAGAATTAACAGTAATTCCAAATCTTCACAGTTGCCAGGACTGTGCTATGTTCAACCACAACTTCTGTCATTTAAGGGACTTGGAAAGACCATATTGCCCAGAAGAATGTTTGGTATATTTAGGAAATCCTAAATATGACCAATTTTATAATCAATCAGGATGAGGAGAGAAGTGTAAGCGATTGTTAGAATAGGAACAAGGAAAAGGGAAACACCAGAGTAATATCAAATAGACTATGAGCAAATATAGGAGTGTTACAATAAAACAATTGGGTTATATAATTTGGGAGAATTCAAGGGAGAATGTGGAACTATGTGGCATTTATACAGATAGCCTTTGGAATACAGACACCCCTCAAAGAAAAATCCATCAGGCAGCAGGATCAATTATTAGAAATTGGTATTAAGAATGATTGGTGAAACATAATAACTTGTCATATACTCAATGCTTATAGGGATGTTTTGGATGGGAAATGAATTCAACTAAACTGTTATGATTTGTCCTTTCTTGAGGTTACTACAGATGGTGTCGTAATGCATAGCAGAGATAATTCAGTCGAAAATGGTGTGAACCTCAATAAAAACCAAAAACCCTCTACCCGGCTGAAGAGGAGCAACAAAGGCGTTGAAGACGTTCCTGTCCAGCACACCTCTACCAGGAGACCTGAATCAGAACCAGCATCAAATCAAAGCAATCAATTGCCTTTTCTTTTAGGCCTTTTCTCTCAAGAATGTGACAGGAGTCCATGTGGAGTGAGCAGGAAGAGAGAACTATTCAAATACAACATTTCTCATAGTTTGGGTATACTGATTATCAAAATGGACAAAACAGAATGAAGGTAGAGGTGGGGCGGCTCAGGTGTGACATTGGAATTGGGACATTGCCATGGGCAATCCAAGATGAACTATGAAGCTATCTGAAGAACAAAATGAAGACGCCAGAAGATTAAGTGCCGGGGGAGGAAGGGATTATTATTTGAGGTAGTAGGTTGATTAAGGAGGTATTATACACTGCTAAATTTATAGTAATTTAGACTAGGAATGCATTGAGATACTGATCTGTTGTAATTCTCTTTATGAGGAAGATAATGCTAAAATTATGGATAATATAAATGTACATTCTGCCAGTGTCAGTATGTGCCAAGGTGAGAGTTTTAACTTTAAATGATGGAACCAAGGTGACTAACTAAGAATTGTCATTATAAATTTGTCTTGGGTAATTTGATTATGATTATGAATTGTAAGCTGACGGAGTGATCTAAATGAATATACAGTGGGGAAAAAAAGTATTTAGTCAGCCACCAATTGTGCAAGTTCTCCCACTTAAAAAGATGAGAGAGGCCTGTAATTTTCATCATAGGTACACGTCAACTATGACAGACAAAATGAGAAATTTTTTTCCAGAAAATCACATTGTAGGATTTTTAATGAATTTATTTGCAAATTATGGTGGAAAATAAGTATTTGGTCAATAACAAAAGTTTCTCAATACTTTGTTATATACCCTTTGTTGGCAATGACACAGGTCAAACGTTTTCTGTAAGTCTTCACAAGGTTTTCAAACACTGTTGCTGGTATTTTGGCCCATTCCTCCATGCAGATCTCCTCTAGAGCAGTGATGTTTTGGGGCTGTCGCTGGGCAACACAGACTTTCAACTCCCTCCAAAGATTTTCTATGGGGTTGAGATCTGTAGACTGGCTAGGCCACTCCAGGACCTTGAAATGCTTCTTACGAAGCCACTCCTTCGTTGCCCGGCCGGTGTGTTTGGGATCATTGTCATGCTGAAAGACCCAGCCACGTTTCATCTTCAATGCCCTTGCTGATGGAAGGAGGTTTTCACTCAAAATCTCACGATACATGGCCCCATTCATTCTTTCCTTTATACGGATCAGTCATCCTGGTCCCTTTGCAGAAAAACAGCCCCAAAGCATGATGTTTCCACCCCCATACTTCACAGTAGGTATGGTGTTCTTTGGATGCAACTCAGCATTCTTTGTCCTCCAAACACGACGAGTTGAGTTTTTACCAAAAAGTTATATTTTGGTTTCATCTGACCATATGACATTCTCCCAATCCTCTTCTGGATCATCCAAATACACTCTAGCAAACTTCAGACGGGCCTGGACATGTACTGGCTTAAGCAGGGGGACACGTCTGGCACTGCAGGATTTGAGTCCCTGGCGGCGTAGTGTGTTACTGATGGTAGGCTTTGTTACTTTGGTCCCAGCTCTCTGCAGGTCATTCACTAGGTCCCCCCGTGTGGTTCTGGGATTTTTGCTCACCGTTCTTGTGATCATTTTGACCCCACGGGGTGAGATCTTGCGTGGAGCCCCAGATCGAGGGAGATTATCAGTGGTCTTGTATGTCTTCCATTTCCTAATAATTGCTCCCACAGTTGATTTCTTCAAACCAAGCTGCTTACCTATAGCAGATTCAGCCTTCCCAGCCTGGTGCAGGTCTACAATTTTGTTTCTGGTGTCCTTTGACAGCTCTTTGGTCTTGGCCATAGTGGAGTTTGGAGTGTGACTGTTTGAGGTTGTGGACAGGTGTCTTTTATACTGATAACAAGTTCAAACAGGTGCCATTAATACAGGTAACGAGTGGAGGACAGAGGAGCCTCTTAAAGAAGAAGTTACAGGTCTGTGAGAGCCAGAAATCTTGCTTGTTTGTAGGTGACCAAATACTTATTTTCCACCATAATTTGCAAATAAATTCATTAAAAATCCTACAGTGATTTTCTGGAAAAAAAAATCCTCAATTTGTCTGTCATAGTTGACGTGTACCTATGATGAAAATTACAGGTCTCTCTCATCTTTTTAAGTGGGAGAACTTGCACAATTGGTGGCTGACTAAATACTTTTTTCCCCCACTGTATGTGAGTTAAAGATGTTGAAACTATTCTTAAACATGTCCTAGGTAGTTTGGTTAAAACAACGCTACGTTAGTTTTAATGTGTTAGGATACTAACACTTATCTTGGAATTATTTTAAGTAGAAATATTGATATTTTTATTATGAGTATAACCTTGAATGCAAAGATCGTGATTGATAGCATAAACATAATATACTTTTGTACATTTATGGGATTAGTAATCCCATTAGGAGGGATATGATGTGTATTTTTAATAGACTATGAGGTAAAACTGAGTTAATCATCAACATATAGTTAACATTCTTTGTGGCTAACTGAATTGGGTCATTTCAATGTGTGTGTGGGTAAAAGAGGGAAGCTGACCCAGGGTCAAATTGCTTGTGCTTACTTAGATCCATGGTTGTCTTATCATATCAGAGACTGAAACTGGCTTGGGCCTTTTGTTTCTATCTTCAAACACAGTGAAAAGAGCCGGGTTGAACAGAGTTTGAAACTAAACATGAGTGTTTTTGCAAGATAAGGATTGATTGATTGTAGTACTCTGAAAGTCGAATTTAGCCGCCCTCAGAGACAAAGGAAGTGGGCGGAGCAATAAAAGAGCGGGAAACTGAAGAGGGCGCTATATAAGATGGAGGGAGAGAAGAAGAGGGGGTTCCAATCTGCAGATTGACCTGGCTTTGTTGAATAAAAAAAAAGTCATTCTTGATGCAACAAAAACTCTGTAAGACTTTTGATTTTTAATAAAGTATAGTGGTTATTTTCCACAACACTTGAAGGAGCTGGAGCAGTTTTGCCTTGAAGAATGGGCAAAAACCCCAGTGGCTAGATGTGCCACGCTTATAGAGACATACCCCAAGAGACTTGCAGCTGTAATTGCTACAAAAGTTTTCTGTTTTTTTTTCTTATTTCTTGTTTGTTTCAAAAGAAAACATATTGACTATCAGTCAATAAAGTGGTAGGCATGTTGTGTAAATCAAATGATACAAACCCCCCAAAAATCCATTTTAATTCCAGGTTGTAAGGCAACAAAATAGGATAAATGCCAAGGGGGGTGAATACTTTCGCAAGCCACTATACATATGCACATGAGCCTATATGCATAAACAATGACTAAAATATGTTTGGGGTCTTTAAGAATAGACTCAATGGCAGCACAGCAAAGCAGCAATGTTTACAATATGCCCCCTCTCCCTTTAGCTGGGAGAGAGAATAAGAGCTTTCAGACTGAAGAAATCATTTTTCACGGGGCTCAAAAGGAAGTGACAGTCAGTAATTGCCCGATTGTGTTGTGTCTTTCACAGGGTCACTGCACTGTACTTCAAGGAGCAACAGCCCAGATCCTTTTCCTCTGCCTCTGCTGCCTCCTCTGTCTGTCTGTCTGTCTGTCTGTGTCCGTACCAAGGCCTGTTTCACTCTGATAGCCCAAGTCACTATAAGGTTCTGTTGATGTGCCAGCCACAAGTCCTAATAACGGATTATGATGCTGCAGCCTAGCTGCTCCTCTCCTCTCCTTCGCCAGGCAGCTACACAGAAGGGCTTTCAAGTCCTTTCATTACACAAAAGCTTTCATCCTATTCCGGTGACTGATCTGGAACCATAGGAAAAAACGATAGGCTGTATATTATTTCTGCATGTATCCACCATCGGGCAATTAGGAAGAAATTATTACGTAAGCCATTGGTTTGATTATCAATGGGCTTCCAAAGGGAAATGTTATATAACAACAATTATAAAGTATGGATTCATGAGAATGTGCCATATTCTTTTGAGGAATAAATAATGTGTAAATGGATGACAACTACATTATAAATGATAACATTATAGCTTTAAATGTATTTGACTGATCAGTGATCAATGTTCTTTCTTCTTTAAAAGGAAATATCTGAAACAACAGGTTCTGGAGAACACCTTTAAGTTCCACTGTAGTGCTTTGCAAGTACCTGTAATTATAGGCCTTTCCCACTGGGCAAAAACTGGTAAAATCAACATTGTTTCCAAGTCATTTCAACCCAAAAAATCTATGTGATGATGTTGAATTAATGTGTCAAAACTGATTGATTTTGAAAAAGTCATCAAACTAAGGGCATTTCTTGTTTTTTTTTCAACCAACTTTTAACCTAAATCCAATCCCATGGTGCCATTTTTGGTGGATTTCACGTTGAAATATTTGTTAGTTGACAACTCAACCAAATGTAAATCAAAACTAGACGTTGAACTGATGTCTGTGCCCAGTGGGTTACTAGTACAGAAAGACTTAAGTCTTGTAAATGCTTGTAAATCACAAATACGAATATTTCTTATCTTATATTCCTTTATATCAGGTTTAAATCTGGAGCCATAGAAAATACTCTCTTCATAAAGTCCCAAACTCAGTCACAACAAAAGATCTGTAATGAAGTTCAGAGTAGCCTAATGACTTCATCTTTTAGCTAATGGTCTCAGTCGGTAGTGACATTTATGACTCACCGTCCTGAGTAGACTGGGTCAGAGGCTGTGTCCCAATATAGTGTACTAGGGCCCATAGGGCTCTGGTAAAAAATAGTGGTGGTATATATAGGGAATATGCTGCCATTTGGGATGCTGCCATGGTTCCAATGTGTGGTTCCACTGTGGGGCTCAAAGCGTAGGTAGGTAATATGGTAATGACTGGTAAATGTGTCTGTCTTGGTTATCAGTTCCCTATCTAGAAGTTGAGACCTAACATTCATTACTTACAGTATTATCTGATTTCAACCTTTACTTCAATATTTATATCAGGAGGGCAATGATGCATACAGTGCCTTGCAAAAGTATTCTTCCCCCTTGGTGTTTTGCCTATTTTGTTGCATTACAACCTGTAATTTAAATGGATTTTTATTTGGATTTCATGTAATGGACATATACAAAATAGTCCAAATTGGTGAAGTGGAATGAGAAAAATAACTTGTTTCAAAAAATTCAAAAAAATAAATAACGGAAAGGTGGTGCGTGCATATGTATTCACCCCCTTTGCTATGAAGGCCCTAAATAAGATCTGGTGCAACCAATTACCTTCAGAAGTCACATAATTAGTTAAATAAAGTCCACCTGTGTGAAGTGTAAGTGTCACATGATCTATCTTATGATCTCAGTATATATACACCTGTTCTGAAAGGCCCCAGAGTCTACAACATGTGGTCCTCTGTAGATCAGCTGGTAGAGCACGGCGCTTGTAACGCCAAGGTAGTGGGTTCGATCCCCGGGACCACCCATACACAAATAAATAATAATGTATGCACGCATGACTGTAAGTCGCTTTGGATAAAAGCGTCTGCTAAATGGCATATTATTATGTGATGGGTGATTTGAAGTAGTCAGGCGCAGGAGGGTAAATCACAGAATAACAGAGTTTACTCCGGAATACAGAGTTTACGCAGTAATGCATCAAAACAGTCCAGTGCGCAAAACAGGCGCACTGGAACCAACAAGGCACACAGGGAATTACCCCGTGTCACGACTTCCTCCGAGGCTGCCTCCCCACCTTGTTCTGGCAGGCTTTGGCGTTCATCGTCACCGGCCTTCTAGCCACTGCCGCTCCATATCTCATCATTCCATTTGTCTTGTCTTGTCAATTACACACACCTGGCTCAAATGCCCCTCATTAGTACGTGTTTAAGTGTTCCCTCTGTCCCCTTGTCCTTGTGGGTGGTTGTTCATTGTGAGGATTAGTAGCTCGGTTGAGCTCAGTATTTTGTATTGCCGGAGTATTTTCCCCGTGTGCATGTTTGTTCCAGTGCGCCTGTTTTGCGCACTGGACTGGTTACGCTGGATTACGGAATAAACTCTGTATACTGTGATTTACCCTCCTGCGCCTGACTCCTTCAAATCACGCATCACACCCCGGCAATACAAAATACAAGGAGCTCAACCGAGCTTCACTCTCCTCACAATAAACAATCACACACAAAGACAAGGGGGCAGAGGGAACACTTATACAGGTACTGATGAGGGGATATGAACCAGGTGTTTGTAATAAACAAGACAAAACAAATGGAATGATGAGATGAGGAGCGGCAGTGGCTAGAAGGCCGGTGACGACAAACACCGAGGCAGCTTCGGAGGAAGTCGTGACACAACACAACTAAGCAAGGGGCACCACCAAGCAAGCGGCACCATGAAGACCAAGGAGATCTCCAAACAGATCAGGGTTGGGTTATAAAAAAATATCCGAAACTTTGAACATTCCACGGAGCACCATTAAATCCATTATTTAAAACATTTAAGAATATGGCACCACAACAAACCTGCCAAGAGAGGGCCGCCCACCAAAACTCATTCATTTACACCACTGATGCTAGTAGTGATGGGGATAGGAGACAGTGGTGGCTGGTGGCACTTTAAATCGAAGGATGGGCTCATAGTAATAGCTGGAATGGATTAGAATGAATGGAATGGCATCATTCCAGCAATTATTAAGAGCCGTCCGCCCCTCACCAAAAAATCTAATCAAATCAAATTGTATTTGTCACAGGCGCCAAATACAACTGGTGTAGACCTTACCGTGAAATGCTTACTTACAAGCCCTTAACCAACAATGCAGTTTTAAGAAAAATAAGAGCTAAGAAAATATTTACTAAATAAACTAAAGTAAAAATAAAAAGTAAAAGAGCAACAATAAAATAACAATAACAATGTTGTCCTGGCACCACACGGCCAGGTCTCTGTCCTCCTCCCTATAGGCTGTCTCATTGTTGTCGGTGATAAGGTCTACCACTGTTGTGCCGTCAGCAAACTTAATGATGGTGTTGGAGTCGTGCTTGGTCACGCAGTCATGGGTGAACAGGGAGTACAGGAGGGGACTAAGCACGCACCCCTGAGGGGCCCCCGTGTTGAGGATCAGCGTGGCAGATGTGTCGTTGCCTACCCTTACCACCTGGGAGCGGCCCCTCAGGAAGTCCAGGATCCAGTTGCAGAGGGAGGTGTTTAGTCCCAGGGTCCTTAGCTTAGTGATGAGCTTTGTGGGCACTATGGTGTTGAACGCTGAGCTGTAGTCAATGAACAGCATTCTCACATAGGTGTTCCTTTTGTCCAGGTGAGAAAGGACAGTGTGGAGTGCAAAAGAGATTGCGCCATCTGTCGATCTGTTGGGGCAGTATGCAAATTGGAGTGGGTCTAGAGTTTCTGGGATGATGGTGTTGATGTGAGCCATGACCAGCCTTTCAAAGCACTTCATGACTACAGATGTGAGTGCTACGGGTCAATAGTCATTTAAGAAGGTTACCTTGGTGTTCTTGGGCACACCACTATGGTGGTCTGCTTTAAACATGTAGGTATTACAGACTCAGGGACAGATTGAAAATGTCAGTGAAGAAACTTGCCAGTTGGTCAGTGCATGCTCGGAGTACATGTCCTGGTAATCCGTCTGGCCCTGCGGCCTTGTGAATGTTGACCTGTTTAAAGGTCTTACTCACATCGGGTACGGCGAGCGTGATCACACAGTTGTCAGGAACAGCTGGTGCTCTCATGCATGCTTCAGTGTTGCTTGCCTCGAAACGCGCATAGAAGTAATTTAGCTCGTCTGGTAGGCTTGTGTCACTGAGCAGCTCGCGGTTGGGAATCCCTTTGTAGTCCGTAATAGTTTGCAAGCCCTGCCACATTCGACGAGCGTCGGAGCCGGTGTAGTATTATTCAATCTTAGTCCTGCATTGACGCTTTGCCTATTTGATGGTTCGTCGGAGGGCATAGTGGGATTTCTTATAAGTCCTGCTCCTTGAAAGCGGCAGCTTTACCCTTTAGATCAGTGCGGATGTTACCTGTAATCCATGGATTCTGGTTGGGGTATGTACGTACGGTCACTGTGGGGACGACGTCATCGATGCACTTATTGATGAAGCCGGTGACTGATGTGGGTTACTCCTCAATGCCATCGGATGAATCCCAGAACATATTCCAGTCTATGCTAGCAAAACAGTCCTGTAGCTTAGCATCTGCGTCATCTGACCACTTCCGTATTGAGTGAGTCACTGGCACTTCCTGCTTTAGTTTTCTGTGTAAGCATGAATCAGGAGGATAGAATTATGGTCAGATTTGACAAATGGAGGGCGAGGGAGAGCTTTGTACGTGTCTCTGTGTGTGCAGTAAAGGTGGTGTAGACTTTTTTTTCCTTTGGTTGCACATGTAACATGCTGGTAGAAATTAGGTAAAACGGATTTAAGTTTCCCCGCATTAAAGTCCCCAGCCTTTGGATGAGCATTTTCTTGTTTGCTTATGGCCTTATACAGCTCGTTGAGTACGGTCTTAGTGCCAGCATCGGTTTGTGGTGGTAAATAGACAGCTATGAAAAATATAGATGAAAACTCTCTTGGTAAATAGTGTGGTCTACAGCTTATCATGAGATACTCTACCTCAGGCGAGCAAAACCTTGAAATGTCCTTAATATTAGATTTCGCGCACCAGCTGTTATTGATAAATAGACACAGACCGCCACCCCTTGTCTTACCGGAGGTAGCTGTTCTGTCTTGCTGATGTATGGAAAACCCAGCCAACTGTATATTATTCATGTCGTCATTCAGCTACTACTCAGTGAAACTTAAGATAGTACAGTTTTTAATGTCCCGTTGGTAGGATAGCTTTGAACGGAGCTCATCCAGTTTATTCTCCAATGATTGCAAATTGGCCAATAGGACGGAGGACAGAGGCGGGTTACCCACTCGCCGACAAATTCTCACACCTGCGTCCCCTGTATCGACGGTGGCAGAAACATTATGTACAAAATAAGTTACAAACAACGCGAAAAAACACAAAATAGCACAATTGGTTAGGAGCCCGTAAAATGGCAGGCATCTCCTCCGGCGCCATCAGCCTCCTCTGATGGGAGATGATAATATGTAAATGTGCTAAATACACTGCACTTTATCCCATCAGTGGGTAGACCTACAATGCAGTACCTATGCTGACTCCCATGAGTCATCAGAGATATGAAGAAGAAGCGTTTGTCTGCCATTTAATGAACAGGAATTAACTGAGGCTTCTTCCCGAATGGCAACCTACATGTATTCCCTTTATAGTGCAGTGTAAATGCACTACTTTTGACCAGACCCCATAGGACTATACACTCTTAGAAAAAAGAGTTCCAAAAGGGTTATTTGTCTGTCCCCATAGGATAACCCTTTTTGGTTCCAGGTAGAACCCTTTTTGGGTCCAGGAAGAACCCTTTTGGGTTCCATGCCTTTTGGGTTCCATGTAGAACCCTCTGTGGAGGCTGGCAGGTAGCCTAGCAGTTAAGAATGTTGGGCCAGTAACTAAAAGGTTGCGGGTTTGAATCCCTGAGCTGACTAGGTGAAATATCTGTTAATGTGCCCTTGAGCAAGGCACTTAACCTTAATTGCTCCTGTGAGTCGCACCGGATAAGAGCATCTGCTAAATTACTAAAATGTCAATGTAACCAAAAACATCTAAATAGCAGCTTTTTTTCTAAGAGTGTATAGGGATAGAGAGCTATGCCATTTTGCAAACACTGTAGCCTGCCATTGTACTTTGCAATTAAAAAGATGATAATATGGACATCCAATAGTGGGCCTGTGGGATTATCATTATCTTATTACCTCCACCCACCTAAATGCAAACCTACACAAATGGCCTTATGTGGAATGCCAACTGATTTTACTGATATGATTATATAGCAAATCAACATGGATCAATAGTTTTGTTTTTGATCATAGGAACAATAGATAGATAGACCCTCGTCCAAAATATGCAACAAAATCTAAATTACAATATATATGAATAAATGTGGCGATTTAGTGTTGAAGAAACTGTTATTCCGTTAACCATTAGGGTTATATTTTTTTCGGTAGCTTGTGGACATCTTGCGTCGGTTGGGCAGCATCCCGCGACGGTTGATAAATTAGCCACTGTTGACAGACACCAGCACAATGTGTTCTCAAAAACAGCCATATCTATCTAGCCTACACGGTCGTATATAGGGACAGTTTATATTAGGGGTGTCAAACTAATTTTGCCCCGTTGCCGCATTCGCTCTTCAAGTAGGGCCGGAGGGCCACACTGAAAATTGGTTACCCTATATTTATTCCCTCGCTTTCAAAACTTGCGAAAGACAGTCCTCTTTCCATCGTTTTTTTTTAATTTTCGATATTCCCTGACTGTCTAGCTTTAATTTCGGTGATTAACAGCGAGCTGGAAACAGTCGTGGAAACTGTATAAATGTATGTCCATTATCATTCCTACACAGTTTCGATTTGGGATTAGTCATTTTAATGTAGGCTATATTGAGTTCGTCCCCCCACCCCGATTTTCTTTTGGTAGGCTTGTGTCTACCGAATGTTTTACACCCCTGGTTTATTTTAAACGAAATATTGGGGACATATTGAAGGCTGAATGTATGCCTATTCACCAAACAGGGAGAGGATTTAAATAAACCATAATTTACCCTATCTAAATAGTATGGTTCGATGGTATGTGGATCACGTGACCCAATCAAATATTCACAGAAATTGGTTAAATAATTTAATTTCTATGAATAAATATGTATTATGGTATAGTCTGCCTGCAGCCTCCCCGCTAAAAAGAAAATGTGCAGCGCTTCCAAATGTCCTCAATCTTGTCGGGACTTGGGTCTTACTATAAGTCACCTTGGGAAAATGAATCGAGGGGTCAAGTGATGGCGCAAAAAGGCTAAAATGTTATCCTACAACAGGAATTGCACCGCACACAGCTCTAGACCTCAAATGAAAGCTAGTCACATGGGGATGTCTTCAACTGCAATGACACAGCTTTATTTAGGTTATATTCAACATATTCCCTCCCGCAAGATACATTTATAAATGACACCGTGCATGGATTGGATGGTCTGCCAGGCCCTGCGATTGATTACTGTGTGTGTATAGCCGTGTTTTTTTCTCTGCAACAGCAATCTGCATGATGGTTGCCTACGTACCCACACAATAGCTGCCTGCGGTTCATATCCTCGCATTATGCATGGCTGAATTCAGCGACATTCTACATTCATATAAACAGTGTTGGAGGAAAAGGGCAATGTTTGCACTATATAGCCTATCAATTTGATATAATGGTATTGCATGAGGGTTTGTGGGATGGTAGGTTTATTATTAACGTAGCTTTTCTCCGGCCCTGTATGACAGCATCTAGCTGACCATTGATGTGAAAAGGAGGCTATTCGTTGACATGTGGTGATTTACTTCCCTTCCACCGTGGGTGGCTTACCTTCTGTTGTCGCCTCGCCATATCTGTGGGCTGTTTTGCATTGAAAGGGTAGGCGATGCACCTCATCACAAAGACATATAGTTGCAGCTTCTTTTTGCGCTCCTCTTCCTCCTTCTGCAAATTGGCCTCCTCCACCTTCTCCTGCTCGCTGGCAGCTGACGGGCTCGGGCTGGTCGGGCGAGCGCTACTGCGACTGCTGCTGCTGGGCGCAAGCCCGCCGGAGCTCTCGCTAGTCCGGCTTGGAGAGATGCGGGCTCCGCTCTGGGGCGCCGATGCCTCCTTGTGATGGTGTTCCTCCTCCACCATCCCACCATCCGATTCCTCCTCGCTGGATGACGGATCCAACATATCACAGCCTAGAGAGGATGTAGCCTGGCAGAACTCCTATTCGAAGAAATTGTGAAATTGATATTGATATTCGGATAGTAAACTGAAATTAAACCGTTATCTGATTCAAAACGAAAGACACCTGAATTTGCTGAGCCTTTTCTTAAGGATGCCAGAAAATACGACTTATGCTTGGAGAGAGAGCTGAGATGCTGCACGCACACAGACACAGCACAGCAATCTCCTCCTGCACGGTCACCGCCGCTGATGTACGAGAAGGAGGTGGGATAGAAAGGGAGGAGGGGGCGTGAATGAGTGAAAGCGGCTCCTTCAATAAAAAGCGCGAGCGATGGCCTCTTCCTGCCAGCAGAGCTCTAGAACCGTGGGACACAGTCGCGCAGGCGTGAGGAGAGCCGCTGGCCATTGTGCTGAATCGGTTCGTTGGCGCCTGCAACGGGGGTAAACCCGGTCGCGTGAAACGGGGATAAACCCGTTGACTTTAAACGACTAACCATTATTGACCTCTGCAGTTGTTGTTGTTTTGTTACAGTGTATGTAGGCGTACTGTATTCACAAATCAATTCAATTGAGGTGTAATAGGCTACATGTAAATATGTAGTGAGTGACAGTGGTAGGTTTATTACCATTAGGAATGACATACTGTAAACATAACCTACTGCCCCTGCAGATTAATAATCCTCACAAATTACCAATCAGTGTTTAGAAAGTATTCATACCTCAGTGTCTGGTGGAAAGCAGACTGAACCAGGTTTCCCCTTAGGATTTTGCCTGTGCTTATCTCCATTCCATTTATTTTTTATCCTGAAACACTCCCCAGTCCTTAACGATTACAAGCATACTGATAACATGATGCAGCCACCACTATGCTTGAAAATAGGAGAGTGGTACTCAGTAATGTGCTGTATTGGATTTGTCACAAACATAACACTTTGTATACAGGACAAAAAGTTAATTGCTTTGCCACATTTTTTACAGTATTACTTTAGTACCTTGCAGGATGCATGTTTTGCAATGTTTTTTATTCTGTACAGGTTTGCTTCTTTTTGTCTCTGTCAATTAGGTCAGTATTGTGGAGTAACTACAAGTTGTTGATCCATCCTCAGTTTTCTGCTATCACAGCCATTAAAACTCTGTAACTGTTTTAATGTCACCATTGGCCTCATGGTGAAATCCCTGAGCAGTTTCCTTCCTCTTCGACAATTGAATTAGGAAGGACGGCTGTATCTTTGTAGTGACTGGGTATATTGATACACCATTCAAAGTGTAATTAATAACTTCACCATGCTCAAAGGGATATTCAATGTCTGCTTTTATTTTAATTTTCACTCATCTACTAATAGGTGCCCCTCTTTGCGAGGCATTGGAATACCTCCCTGGTTTTTGTAGTTGAATCTGTGTTTGAAAATCACTGCTTGACCGAGGGTAGTCATTCAAAAATCATGTTAAACACTATTATTGCACACATAGTGAGTCCATGCAACTTATTATGTGACTTGTTAAGCAAATGTTTACTCTTGAACTTATTTAGGTTTGCCATAACAAAGGGGTTGACTACTTATTGACTCAAGACATTTCAGCTTTTAATTTTGATTTAATGTGTCAACATTTCTAAAAACATAATTCCACTTAGACATTATGGGGTATTGTGTGTAGGCCAGTGACATAAAATCTCAATTTAATCAATTTTAAGGGTTGTGAATACTTTCTGAAGGCACTGTATGCATAGGCCTACTACTGGAGCCTAAAATATGCATCCCACACAGCACCTTATACACTATATTCCCATAAGGCTCTGGTGAAAAGTAGTGCACTATATAGAGAATAGGATGCCATTTGGGACACAACCTGAGACAGGCACAACAACACTAAGAAGCCAATTGTAAATAATGTATTATTTACAAAGCCATTAAGGACACACCAGTTCCTGTCCCTGCCTTCTAATATTGTTTATTTCAGTTAGGCTATTCATATAGACACATCATTAAAGCCTTACTCAGCCTTGTATAATACTGACTTAACCTGCAAGTAAACCCTTAGTAGCTTTGGTGCCATTATTTTTGTAGACATCCTTGGTAGCGCTGTATGAAAAATATGATAACATGAATGTTACATATAAGGTATATAATGTCATAGGTATAATGGATTATAATTAATTATGCATTGTAAGATTTGTTATGAGCATGCTGTATGACTAGCTGTTGCGGTGACCGTATTACCGCCCCACCGGCGACATTTAGTCACGGTAATTAGGCTTCTCCAAGCTCTAATGCCACTGATGGTAATTAGTAGCCTACCAAACTTCCTAACTGCCTGGTACTCAGCACTCTATTGTCACGGTTTCGGCCGAGGCTGCTCCTTCTCCTTGTTCGGGCAGGCTTCGGCGGTCGTCGTCTCCGGAGTACTAGCTGCCACCGTTCTATGTTTCTATGTTTGATTGGTTTTGTCTGTTTGTTACACCTGTTCATTGTTAAGTGCTCATTATGCATCCTATTTAGTTCTCTTGTGTTTGGTCAGGTGTTGTGTGTAATTGTTCGATGTCACGTGTAGTAGTTGGTTCGCTGTTCTGTGCTCTCTGTATTTTCGTTTTGTTTGAGAGAGTCCTGCACGTTGTGCGCATTTACTTTGGTTCTTACCAGTGTGCGTATGTTTCGCCTGTGGCCTGTTGCCGTGTTTGGCTTGTATTTTCGGACTTCACTAAAGACATCTGTTTCGAATCTCTGTGTGTCCTGCGTGTGATTCCACGTTACCTCTACACTCAACCCTGACAGAATTACACACCATCTCTATGGAATCAGCAGGAGCACCCGCACCCACAGAGATCATCGAGGAGCGCCTTCGGGGACAGGAGGACAGGATCAACCAATTCGGGCACGCCCTGGACCGAGTGATGAACACCCTCCATCGATGGGAGACCAGCGGGGTACCCACACCCCCACCTACCGCACCATCACCATCGGTCAGCCCGCCTGTCCAACTTCCGGAACCCAGTGGGATTCGGCTCTCGCTCCCGAGGGCGTACGACGGCACCGCTGCCGGGTGTCAGGGGTTCCTGTTGCAAGTTGAACTCTACCTCGCCACCGTACACCCGGCGCCCTCGGGACACGAGAGCGTTTCCGCCCTCATCTCCTGTCTCACCGGCAAGGCGCTGGAGTGGGCCAACGCCGAATGGAGGAGAATAGACGCCGCTACTATCACCTATGCGGAGTTCTCCCACCGCTTCCGTGCAGTGTTTGACCATCCACCGGAAGGGAAGGCGGCGGGGGAGCGTCTATTCTACCTCCGGCAGGGGATGAGGAGCGCTCAGGAGTTTGCACTGGAGTTCCGGACTCTAGCGGCAGATGCGGGGTGGAATGAGCGGGCACTCATAGACCACTTCCGCTGCAGCCTCCGGGAGGACGTCCGCAGAGAGTTGGCGTGCAGGGATACCACGCTTTCATTTGACCAATTGGTTGACATGGCCATTCGGCTGGACACCCTGCTCGCTACCTGCGGGCGTCCCAGGTGGGGATCGCCCATTCCACCCTCCAGCACCTCCGAGCCGAGCCCTATGGAGCTCGGAGGTGCTGGCGCTAGAGGAAGGAGAAGAAGGAGCCCGAGGGGGGCCGTCCCCTGCACCAACTGTGGCCGTGGAGGGCACACCGCGGCTAGGTGCTGGGGAGGGTCTCCTGGTGGAGGAGAAGGCAGGCCACACATTGGGGAGTCCTCCCAGGTGAGTAGGCGCCCCACTTACCCAGAGCTTTCTGTCGTACACATAACCATACCTGTTTGTTTTCCACAGGTTGCACCTCGTTCCCAGCATAAGGCGCTAGTAGATTCAGGCGCAGCTGGGAATTTTGTAGATCGCAAATTCTGTATAGAGTTAGGGATTCCCCTCCTTCCGGTAAATAATCCTTTCCCTGTACATGCCCTAGATAGTCGTCCATTAGGATCCGGGTTGATTAGGGAGGTCACAGTGCCACTTAGGATGGAGACGCAGGGGGGTCATGAGGAGACGATTCAGCTCTATCTGATCGACTCTCCTGCGTATCCGGTGGTGCTGGGGCTTCCCTGGTTGATTACCCATGATCCTACTATTTCGTGGCGAGAGAGGGCTCTTAAGGGGTGGTCTGCTCAGTGTGAGGGGCTATGTCTGGTTGTTTCCGTAGGGGCGACCTCGGTGGAGAGTCCGAACCAAATGCCCGCATTGCACATTCCCCCCGAGTATGAGGATTTGGCACTCGTGTTTAGCAAGACGAGAGCGGCGCGGTTGCCACCTCATAGACAGGGGGATTGTGCGATAGACCTCCAGGCAGGAGCTGCGCTCCCGCGGAGCCATGTGTATCCTTTGTCACAGGAGGAGAAGAGGGCAATGGAGACATACATTGCCGAGTCTCTGAGACAGGGATACATACGGCCCTCCACTTCACCCGCGTCCTCAAGCTTCTTTTTTGTGAAGAAAAAGGATGGAGGTTTGCGCCCGTGTATTGATTACCGCGGTCTCAATCAGATTACTGTGAAATATAGTTATCCACTCCCGCTGATTGCGACGATGACGGAGTCATTACACGGGGCACGGTTCTTCACAAAATTGGACCTCAGGAGCGCATATAACTTGGTGCGCATTAGAGAGGGCGATGAATGGAAGACAGCATTTAGTACTACCTCCGGTCATTACGAGTATCTCGTCATGCCATACGGGTTAATGAATGCTCCATCAGTCTTCCAGTCCTTTGTAGATGAGATTTTCCGGGACATGCAGGGGCAGGGAGTAGTCGTGTACATAGACGATATTCTGGTGTACAGTTCTACCCGGGCCGAACATGTAGCCCTGGTGCGCCGAGTATTGAGGAGGCTGTTGGAGCATGACCTGTATGTCAAAGCCGAGAAATGTCTGTTCTTCCAGGAGTCGGTCTCCTTTTTGGGTTATCAGTTGTCTGCGTCAGGGGTGAGGATGGAGGTTGACCGTGTGTCAGCCGTGCGTAATTGGCAAACCCCAACCACGGTTAAAGAGGTGCAGCAGTTCTTGGGTTTTGCGAATTACTACCGGAGGTTTATCCGGGGTTTTGGACAGGTGGCAGCTCCCATAACGTCCCTTCTGAAGGGGGGTCCGGTGCGCTTGCGGTGGTCAGCTGAGGCGGACAGGGCTTTTGGGAGACTGAAGGACCTGTTTACCTCGGCTCCAGTGCTGGCGCACCCGGATCCCGCTTTACCATTCCAAGTGGAAGTGGATGCGTCTGAAGCCGGTATCGGGGCTGTTCTCTCACAACGGTCCGGCACACCACCTAAACTCCGCCCCTGTGCTTTTTATTCGAAAAAGCTCAGTCCGGCGGAGCGTAATTATGACGTAGGGGACAGGGAGCTGTTAGCCGTGGTACAAGCCCTAAAGGTGTGGAGGCATTGGCTTGAGGGGGCTCAACACCCTTTTCTCATTCTGACTGACCACCGTAACCTGGAATACATTCGGGCAGCTAGGAGACTGAATCCTCGCCAGGCTCGGTGGACTATGTTTCTAGCCCGGTTCGTGTTTAAGATCACTTACATCCCTGGGTCCCAGAACGGGAAGGCAGATGCCCTGTCTCGGCGGTATGACACGGAGGAGAGGTCCGTTGAGCCCACTCCCATACTACCTAAGTCTTGTCTGGTTGCACCGGTGGTATGGGAGGTCGATGCGGAGATCGAGCGGGCATTACGCACCGACCCTAGCCCTCCACAGTGTCCGGTGGGTCGGACGTACGTCCCGCTCGAGGTCCGGGATCGGCTCATTTATTGGGCTCACACGTCACCCTCCTCTGGGCATCCAGGTATTGGCCGGACAGTGCACTGCCTTAGCACAAAGTACTGGTGGCCAACGTTAGCCAGGGATGTGAGGATTTATGTCTCCTCCTGCTCGGTGTGTGCCCAGTGTAAGGCGCCCAGACACTTGCCCAGGGGTAAGTTACAACCCCTGCCCGTTCCACAACGACCCTGGTCTCACCTCTCGGTGGATTTTGTTACAGACCTTCCCTCCTCACAGGGGAATACCACCATCCTGGTCGTTGTGGATCGGTTCTCGAAGGCCTGTCGTCTCCTTCCCATGCCGGGTCTTCCTACTGCCCTACAGACCGCTGAGGCTCTATTTACCCACGTCTTCCGGCATTACGGGGGTACCCGAGGATATAGTGTCTGATCGAGGCCCCCAGTTTACCTCCAGAGTCTGGAGAGCGTTTATGGAACGGTTGGGGGTTTCGGTGAGCCTTACCTCGGGTTACCACCCGGAGAGTAATGGGCAGGTCGAACGTGTCAACCAGGATGTGGGTAGGTTTCTGAGGTCATATTGCCAGGGCCGGCCGGAGGAGTGGGCGAGATATGTTCCCTGGGCCGAGATGGCACAGAACTCTCTCTGCCACTCCTCCACTAAACTAACCCCTTTCCAGTGTGTGTTAGGGTACCAGCCGGTTCTGGCACCTTGGCATGAGAGCCAGATCGAGGCCCCTGCGGTGGATGAGTGGGTGCGGCGCTCGGAGGAGACGTGGAACGCTGCACACATCCATCTGCAGCGAGCCATCCGTCGACAGAAGACGAGCGCCGATCTCCACCGCAGTGAGGGGCCAGTGTACGCACCTGGAGATCGAGTCTGGCTCTCAACCAGAAACCTGCCCCTCCGCCTGCCCTGCCGGAAGATGGGTCGGCAGTTTGTGGGGCCTTTTAAAGTCCTGAGGAGATTGAACGAGGTGTGTTACAGGTTACAACTGCCCATTGATTACAAGAATATTAACCCCTCGTTCCATGTGTCTCTCCTCAGGCCGGTGGTAGCTGGTCCACTCCAGGACTATGAGATAGAAGAGACTCCTCCGCCCCCGTTGGACATCGAGGGGGCTCCGGCGTACACTGTTCGGTCCATCCTAGATTCGAGACGCCGGATGGGGGGTCTCCAATATCTCGTGGAGTGGGAGGGGTACGGCCCGAAGGAGCGGTGCTGGGTGCCGAGGAGGGACATCCTAGACCCGTCTCTTCTGACCGAGTTCCATCGTGGTCATCCTACGCGCCCTGCTCCGCATCCTCCTGGTCGTCCCCGAGTCCGGGGTCGGCACACGGCTGGAGCCGCGCATCAAGGGGGGGGTACTGTCACGGTTTCGGCCGAGGCTGCTCCTTCTCCTTGTTCGGGCAGGCTTCGGCGGTCGTCGTCTCCGGAGTACTAGCTGCCACCGTTCTATGTTTCTATGTTTGATTGGTTTTGTCTGTTTGTTACACCTGTTCATTGTTAAGTGCTCATTATGCGTCCTATTTAGTTCTCTTGTGTTTGGTCAGGTGTTGTGTGTAGTTGTTCGATGTCACGTGTAGTAGTTGGTTCGCTGTTCTGTGCTCTCTGTATTTTTGTTTTGTTTGAGAGAGTCCTGCACGTTGTGCGCATTTACTTTGGTTCTTACCAGTGTGCGTATGTTTCGCCTGTGGCCTGTTGCCGTGTTTGGCTTGTATTTTCGGACTTCACTAAAGACATCTGTTTCGAATCTCTGTGTGTCCTGCGTGTGATTCCACGTTACCTCTACACTCAACCCTGACATCTATTGTCCCTCTAATCACTCTGACATCAATGCAAATGTAATTGAACATCTAATCAAACACTTCATGAGAGCCCATGAGCTCATGTTGTGCAACATTTCTATAGGCTATGCAATTGCGTGAGAAAACAGAGTGATATCCTCTATTAAAAAGAGTAGGATCCCATTAGCTTTCTATAGGCTAGGCCTACTATATTTATTTCTCAACTTTCCTAATATTAAGCACATTGCTTCTATTTACAACAGGAGTATAGCCTACCTCACCGGCATGAAAATGAACCATGGGAAAAGTGTCCTCCATTCGCTAATTAAGTGCATAGGTGAAATGTATTTTTCCCCCTCCCCCTGTTTCAAGACAGGTGCATGACAATGGTCCATTCTAAATCAAAACAAATTTCACACATATATTATTTACTATATGTAAAGACAAGATTAAGTCAAGAATAGTCTGATGGGTGACAATATTAGGCTATCACTTGTGAATGATGCCCAGCTTACGTGCAGTAAGCCAAGAAACAACGCATGCCTTTTTTTTGCGACTTTTTCAAATCATAGTCGCACACCTCATGTAGCCTAGCCCATAGGCCTACAGTATATGTTTTGATATAAAGTGGCCAAATAACTTCTTAAAATGAAGCACATTAATCCGCTTTACAACGGGTGTAGAGCCTAACTGGCATACAAACGCAGCGAGTGAGTTTCAAGTTTGGGGAAGATCATTTTCACCATAAAAATACACCTTCATAATAAAAGCATTACATGCATAATCACGTCTGTTTTCACTTGTAGCCTGTGAGAAAGACCCGATCATGTGACAGAGAGCCATGTGAGTGAGAGGTGTTTCGGAGCCTGGAGAAGGGAATTATAATTATTATATTCAGCCCAAGGGCACAACGGCCACTTGCTGCAAAATGCATAGATTCTTTTTTTAGTGGGCATTACGGCCATACAAAGGTGAGGCATTATCAAGTGCTTGTCAAATTGTGAATGAGAGACTGATGAAGTGTGTACAGCCTGCACAAAAAAACTAAGCAGAGCTTATGCCTTTCATGCAAACATTTTCAAATCATCGTTAGAGTTGCATCATGCAGTCTTAGAATGTATTAAAAATCAAAACATATAGCCCAACATTTGAATCACAACTAAAGTTACATAAATAACTCTAAATTAAGCATATAGGAGTACCTGTTTCTTTGTTAACAGCTCAACACAGAATACTCCCTCAAATCGTTTGGAGAAAATATATTTTCTATTTTATTCGGATTTGTTCAATTTTATTCTTCATACTATAAAATATATAAAATAATGCCACGTAATTCTAAGAAAATATTGTCTGCTAAATGAACTAGTGTAACCCACAGCCATATGGCATAGCCAGATCAGGGCCTAACATAAGGACAACTCAGAGTATGCTATTCTGTTCTTCTGAAATAGACTACATTTTCTTCATATCATGTTTCTTTAGACATGTCTAAAATAAATAATGGATTTATTGTGATGGATTTATTAGACTTTTTAAAATGTAGATGTTCCAAAGGTCTGCATCAGTGGCTTGTAGGATATGTGTGGAAGACAGGAGATGCTAAATCTGTTTATGTTAATTAACGGTCAATTACCGTGAGACCGGAAGTTATTTGCTTGACAATCACCAGCTGACAAAATTTCACGAACGCCACATCCCTATGTACAGTATGACCCTCTTATAATGTCCTGTGAAGTGTTACCAAAAATATATTTGGATCATGGTCAGTTGATGCAAGAGCACCAAACAGCATAAACTTTTTTTTGTAACACTGTACACACCATATTCATAATTATATGACTCATAATGCAAGACACACAGTAACAACACCTATATAATTGCTGTCATATTCCACAAAGTTTCTCTTGATATGTTACCTTTTTATCTGGGCCTAAGCCTGCATCTGCTCTGTGTGATTGGAGGTGATGAAATCAATGTCTAGAAGTTGATTTGAAACTCTGGTTAGTTTTCAAACTCAATGATGCATCCCAAATAGCACTGTATTCCCTATTTAGTGCACTACTTTTGACCAGAGCCCTATGGGAATATAGTGAATAAGGTTCATCTCTTAGGCTCTGGTAGTAGGCCTATGCATACAGTGCCTTCAGAAAGTATTCACACCCCTTGGCTTTTTCCAGATTTTGTTGTGTTACAGCCTGAATTTAAAATGGATTACATTGAGATTTTATGTCACTGGCCTAGGTCCATAGGGACCAGGGCCCTTAGTGTACGATAAGGGATGGGAGCCATTTGGGATTCACATTAAAGAGTGTTTTTATTCACTTTTTCCTTTTCCTCTTTGCATTTCATGGTGAGTTTAAAATTCAGAGTTTGCCGTCCATACATTGAATGGAAGCTGTCTATGGTGGAAAACAAATTGATTGTACATTTTGATGATGGAAGGAACTAAAGACAAATCAATGTTTTGGATTTCTCTATGAAACAACAGGCCGTCCCATTGGTTCATACTACTGCATAATGCCGTCACTTACCTTGTCACATCTAACTACAGCTCTGCTGTGGCATTCTGTTCTCTCTGGGTGTGTCCCAAATGACAGGGCTCTGGTCAAAAGTAGTGCTCTATGTAAGGAATAGGGTGCCATTTGGGATTCAGACATTATTTGCTAATGGACATTGTTTTGCATAACATCAGATACTCAGCTGTTGATGGATTGAATCCAACTAAATAATGCATTACATCAATTTTGAGTGCACTGACCTAATGAGATTTTTTTTCCTCACTTACTATTCCACACAGGATTCTAAAGTGTATTTATTTTTATACTGTATGTGTTGCTTATTAGCGATTTGCTGACTCCACAGTACCAAACATTAAAGGGAACTGAAACTTTGTAAGAGAGTTGAGAGAGTTTTTATTTTGAAGGAATTTGGTACAGTATAGCTTTATACACAAGTGTTTGAAAGTGTGGGGAAGATGCTTTGAAAACTAAACTGTGTAGGTTTACATCTTGAGGTGTTTTATTCTCTTTCTCTCTCTCTGTGTGTGTGTTTGTGCGTTTGTGCAGGTTGACATCTTCTTGAGGTGGCTTTTGCTCTGCCATCTGCCTTCTTAATTAAGAGTATCAGTTTGTTGTCATGGCTGCCAGTTGGTTGATGACAGCACAGAAAAAAGTAGGAAAAAAGTATTAAAATGTATGCACTCATTACTGTAAGTCGCACTGGATAAGAGCGTCTGCTACAGTGAGGGAAAAAAGTATTTGATCCCACTGCTGATTTTGTACGTTTGCCCACTGACAAAGACATGATCAGTCTATAATTTTAATGGTAGGTTTATTTGAACAGTGAGAGACAGAATAACAACAAAAAAATCCAGAAAAACGCATGTCAAAAATGTTATAAATTGATTTGCATTTTAATGAGGGAAATAAGTATTTGACCCCTCTGCAAAACATGACTTAGTACTTGGTGGCAAAACCCTTGTTGGCAATCACAGAGGTCAGACGTTTCTTGTAGTTGGCCACCAGGTTTGCACACATCTCAGGAGGAATTTTGTCCCACTCCTCTTTGCAGATCTTCTCCAAGTCATTAAGGTTTCGAGGCTGACGTTTGGCAACTCGAACCTTCAGCTCCCTCCACAGATTTTCTATGGGATTAAGGTCTGGAGACTGGCTAGGCCACTCCAGGACCTTAATGTGCTTCTTCTTGAGCCACTCCTTTGTTGCCTTGGCCGTGTGTTTTGGGTCATTTTCATGCTGGAATACCCATCCACAACTCATTTTCAATGCCCTGGCTGAGGGAAGGAGGTTCTCACCCAAGATTTGACGGTACATGGCCCCGTCCATCGTCCCTTTGATGCGGTGAAGTTGTCCTGTCCCCTTAGCAGAAAAACACCCCCAAAGCATAATGTTTCCACCTCCATGTTTGACGGTGGGGATGGTGTTCTTGGGGTCATAGGCAGCATTCCTCCTCCTCCAAACACGGCGAGTTGAGTTGATGCCAAAGAGCTCGATTTTGGTCTCGTCTGACCACAACACTTTCAACCAGTTCTCCTCTGAATCATTCAGATGTTCATTGGCAAACTTCAGACGGGCATGTATATGTGCTTTCTTGAGCAGGGGGACCTTGCGGGCGCTGCAGGATTTCAGTCCTTCACGGCGTAGTGTGTTACCAATTGTTTTCTTGGTGACTATGGTCCCAGCTGCCTTGAGATCATTGACAAGATCCTCCCGTGTAGTTCTGAGCTGATTCCTCACCATTCTCATGATCATTGCAACTCCACGAGGTGAGATCTTGCATGGAGCCCCAGGCCAAGGGAGATTGACAGTTCTTTTGTGTTTCTTTCATTTGCGAATAATCGCACCAACTGTTGTCACCTTCTCACCAAGCTGCTTGGCGATGGTCTTGTAGCCCATTCCAGCCTTGTGTAGGTCTACAATCTTGTCCCTGACATCCTTGGAGAGCTCTTTGGTCTTGGCCATGGTGGAGAGTTTGGAATCTGATTGATTGATTGCTTCTGGCTCCCAGGTGTCTTTTATACAGGTAACAAGCTGAGATTAGGAGCACTCCCTTTAAGAGTGTGCTCCTATTCTCAGCTCGTTACCTGTATAAAAGACACCTGGGAGCCAGAAATCTTTCTGATTGAGAGGGGGTCAAATACTTATTTCCCTCATTAAAATGCAAATCAATTTATAACATTTTTGACATATGTTTTTTCTGGATTTTTTTGTTGTTATTCTGTCTCTCACTGTTCAAATAAACCTACCATTAAAATTATAGACTGATCATTTCTTTGTCAGTGGGCAAACGTACAAAATCAGCAGGGGATCAAATACTTTTTTCCCTCACTGTAAATGACTAAAATGTAAACAATGTAAATGTAAATCTCATATGGTTTTCAACCAATCAATGATTTTAGAGTAGCTACCTCAATGGTATATTTTATATTTTATTTTTAGTAGACTCATCCTTATCAATGGTAGACTCAAACTCAAATCCTCAAACTGTTTCTGCATTGCACTATAGAGTCTTATAATTTTTTTTTTTGAAAGGATTCTTCAGCTCTTTTTAGTTCCACGTAGAACCCTTTTGGGTTCCATGTAGAGTCCTCGGTGGAAAGGTTCCTACATGAAACCCAAAAGGGTTCTACCTGGAAGCAAAAAGGGTTATTCAAAGGATTCTCCTATGGGGACAGCCGGAGAACCTTTTTAGGTTCTAGATAGATCATTTCTTTCCAAGAGTGTAGCTACATGTTCCCTTGCAAATATAATAACACCTTGGCTGAAGTGGGGCCCACTCAAAAAGGGTTTCACTAAACATTTTAGCACATGCCTTTACAATCAAATATCTCTCCCAAATAGCTTATAAACTCTTTTTTTTGTCAATTCCTCTTTGCAGGTCGGTGTGTGTTACTTCTTTCCAGCCCTGCAGTTTTCCTAAATTAAATTAATAATTCACTCTGCGGCTCCTTGGGCTCGCTGTAATAATGCTGTGGTGTTTCTCTGGGTGTCCAGCCCTATTCATTTTACAGCATGGTACAGAACAAGTCTATGAAACAGGAGGGCTAGAGACAGGTCTCTGGGTGTCCAGCCCTATTCCACTTTACAGCCTGGTATAGTTGTGTTGTTCAGCTAGAGAAAGGTCTCTGGGTGTCCAGCCATATTCCACTTTACAGCCTGGTATAGTCGTGTTGTTCAGCTAGAGAAAGGTCTCTGGGTGTCCAGCCATATTCCACTTTACAGCCTGGTATAGTCGTGTTGTTCAGCTAGAGAAAGGTCTCTGGGTGTCCAGCCATATTCCACTTTACAGCCTGGTATAGTCGTGTTGTTCAGCTAGAGAAAGGTCTCTGGGTGTCCAGCCATATTCCACTTTACAGCCTGGTATAGTTGTGTTTTTCAGCTAGAGAAAGGTCTCTGGGTGTCCAGCCATATTCCACTTTACAGCCTGGTATAGTCGTGTTGTTCAGCTAGAGAAAGGTCTCTGGGTGTCCAGCCATATTCCACTTTACAGCCTGGTATAGTCGTGTTGTTCAGCTAGAGAAAGGTCTCTGGGTGTCCAGCCATATTCCACTTTACAGCCTGGTATAGTCATGTTGTTCAGCTAGAGAAAGGTCTCTGGGTGTCCAGCCATATTCCACTTTACAGCCTGGTATAGTCGTGTTGTTCAGCTAGAGAAAGGTCTCTGGGTGTCCAGCCATATTCCACTTTACAGCCTGGTATAGTCATGTTGTTCAGCTAGAGACTGGTCAGAGCAGCTTCTTTACATCCATGTCAAACCCCCACCACAGTCCTCAAAGACCAGGGTGTCAGCTGTACCACGTGTCCACTAGACGCTACTCAGAGCTCCACGCTGCTCGCATTAGCTGACCACTGACCTGCAGCTGGACTGGGGAACGAACTGAACGTAACAGATAGAAATGTTATGAATAGAGCTGTAATGATTCCTCACTCAACACGTCACAGAAGCATGTCTGTTCTATATAATATATTTATATCTGATTCTGTCAGCTGACCATTGATATGCAGCTGGACTGGGGAATGAACTGAACATAACATATATACATTTTATGAATAGCGCTGTAATGATTCCTCACTCAACACGTCACAGAAGCATGTCTGTTCTACATAATATATTTATATCTGATTCTGTCAGCTGACCATTGATCTGCAGCTGGTATTGGTTGAACTGTCATGTGACCACACACATGCCACAAACAGGCATGTACACACACACATACACACACACACACACACACACACACACAGCCATGTCACCATGAAGACTCTGACAGGGCTAAGAGCTGAAATAACCAGAGTGATGACCGGAGCAGAGATGAAGTTAGCATGTGACTGACCCCTACAGTGGGTAAATAAGAGATGCCCTGTAGTGACAGCCGTATTGGTGGGCTACTCATGGCTTTGAAGAAAAAGATTGTACACTGTGGATGCGTCCCAAATGGCACCCTATTCGGTTATTAGTAGGGCGCTGGTCAAAATGAGTGCACTACAGTATATAAGGAATAGGTTGCCTTTTGGGATACAGACTGTGTGATGTCAGTGTTACTGTACTGAAGCTGTCTTCTTTATAACACAACTCAATATCATTAGTGCAGTTCAGGCCTTCAGTGAAGGCTGCTATGGGACCGGGACACCATGTCTCTTTTTGTACCATGTGACCTCTGGCAGGACTTGTATACATCTCTGACATATAGGCAAATTAAACGACCTATTATTAGGTTTAAAGAGTTTAAATGGAACTATCTTGGTGCAGCTGTGTGCAAAGGCTATTCAGAGGTTAATCATTATGATGCCGTCTCATACTTGTCATTTTGCAGTTACAGCTGCAAATACATTTAACATTTTTACTGTGAAATGTTGTGGTAATAGGATGTTCCACAAGACTGCTGAAGTATATGTTTGATATGTGTGTGTGTGCCGTGTGTGTGTGTGTCCATATGTATGTCACGCCCTGGCTCTGGGGACACTTGTATGTTGAGCCAGGGTGTGCGTTTCATTGGTTTGTCTAGTAGTTTCATATCTATGTTGGCCAGTGTGGTTCCCAATCAGAGGCAACGAGTGTCAGCTGTGGCTGGTTGTCTCTGATTGGGAACCACATTTATACAGGCTGTTTTCCCACAGTAGTTGTGGGATCTTGTTCTAGTTGGTTTGTGTTAGACCGTTGACTGTCACGTTATCGTTTTGTTATTTTGTTGTATTTCGCTAATAAAGAGTGTGTTTGCATTCAACGCTGCGCCTTGGTCCTCCTCTCTTACCGACGATCGTGACAATGTATGCAAGCATGGGAACTGTATGGGAGTGTTTGTGATTCCAGGGGGGTCTTTCACCATAGAAATAGAATATCTAGAATGCAAAAAAGCATCAGGAAATTTTACTTGAATGGGAATATTCATTCTAGTCCTTCTCTTTCTAAATCTAGCATTGTGTGTATGTGTCAGAGTAAAACAGCTCAATATAGTGTTTCCTCGTCGCCATAGGAAAATGCTATGGATCTTTCCTCAATTATTAAAAACCTGCGCCGTTGAGGTTGATGGATTAGCCATTTGGAATATGACAATATTCCTTTTGATTAATTAAGGCTTTGCAGTATGTAGCACAATCCATCCACCAGCTCTGACAAGATTTGGGTCTCTGATGTGAAACTGCACACTGCATACTATTAACTAGAGCATTACATAATAGTCCTATATGCAATTCATTATACAATCCCTGTTAGTTCATTTATTTTATTTTATTGGAGCTTACTGTATTATGAACATATTGCATTTAGAAATAACCTAGCTAATCAAGTTACACTATGCTCCACAATAGATAATGGTAATGTATTGTTTCATTGCTCCCTCTTGGTCAGGTTGGTGTTGTGTAAGATAATGTATTCTCTATAGGTTACCTTAAAAAAGGCAGTACATCAATCAATAGAACAATAGACTGACATTTTATTACAGAAGGGCATCTTGCTGAGGGGCCCATAGGACCAGAGAAGGAACCTCCTTGTATTTACAGCATGGGGTTCCACAGTTTTAACTGGTTCCTTTAGCAGCTACACTCTTAGAAAAAAAAGGTGCTATCTCATACCTAAAAGGGTTCTTCAACCCTTTGAAGAACCCTTTTTGGTTTCAGGTAGAACCCTTTTGGGTTCCATGTAGAACCCTTTCCCCAGAAGGCTCTACATGGAACCCAAAAGGGTTATATCTGGAACTAAAAAGGGTTGTACCTAGAACCAAAAGGGTTCTCTTATGGGGACAGCCGAAGAACCCTTTTGTAACCCTTTTTTCTAAGAGTATAGAGTCTATCTCAGTGGCTCCGTCTCCCCCGCAGTGAAGTAACTGAGCACCCCAGTCTCTCTCTGAAGACTGGCTCTCTGTTCGAGATAGAGGAGAGCTATGGAACCATGCCGTGAGGGCTGCAGGCACAGCGCAGGCACCTCTCTCTCTCTCTCTCTCTCTCTCTCTCTCTCTCTCTCTCTCTCTCTCTCTCTCTCTCTCTTCTCTTTCTCTCTGTCTGTCTGTCTGTCTGTCTGTCTGTCTGTCTCTCTCTCTCTCTCTCTCTCTCTCTCCCTCTTCTCTGTCTCTCTCTCTCTTCTCTCTCTCTCTCTCTCTCTCTCTCTCTCTCTCTCTCTCTTCTCTCGCTCTCTCTCTCAGACAAAAAATAAGAAACCCCACCTGCCCTAACATGAATGCCAGATGCTCAGCGATAGGAGTAGGTAGCAGATCCATCTGTACATACGTTCACACTGTTTTACACAATAAGCCTGGTACTGTAGCAGAGCTTGCTTGGTTGGGGGTGCTAAAGGAATAATAAAACCATAGAAGTGATACTTTGTTTACAACCCACTGATAAACAAACACATTTACTGCTTGTGGGGCAAAGAAGCTGAATTCTCACCATGAGACCTGTCTTCACCATACTACATCTAAAGTACAGGGCAGTGGACTTTGTAAATTTGTTAGGTAGACTGGTGAGTGAAATGAGATCTAATTGGGGTCCTCTGTAGCTCAATTGGTAGAGCATGGCGCTTGTAACACCAGGGTAGTGGGTTCGATCCCCGTGACCACCCATATGTAAAATGTATGCGCACATGACTGTAAGTCGCTTTGGATAAAAACGTCTGCTAAATGGCATATTATTATATTATTATTATAATAATTGTAAGGTTTTGTTCTCGTTCTAGCTAAAGATGCCACCTCCGTCTAATTTTCCCCCCTCCCCCTCCTACTATGGGATTATAATGATGACAGAACTACGTGGTCGCACATTGAGATTCGTGGTTGCAAGTACGATTTGCAAATGTGTAATTTAATTTTGCAAGCTTGTATCATGATTTGTGAAAGATTTAACAACGGTCGCAAACAAGTAACTTGACACTTGAATACATTCAATAAGATTTGCAAGTATAATTTATTTTCAGAATGATTATAAGTCCATTTACGAGTATGAATATTCTGCTGTGAATCAAAAATACACTGGCAGATTTTGAATCTGTGTGTGCTCTGAGTTCTGTCACTGTTGTCACGTTACCAAGAGATTCGTAAGCTTGTGAAAAGTTTTGTATGTTTGTAGAACGAGATTTGCAAGTGAAAATGTGATTTGCGCCATGAATCTCATTGTGCGACCACGAAATTCAAAATACAAACTCACGTAGTTCTGTCATCATTATAATCCCATATCCTCCCCTCTTCCTCATCTCCTCCCTCCTCTCTCTTTGCTGGGCTAGTGCTACCCATGGTGCAGGCAGGCAGGTAGGCTCGGCTCAGGCTCAGCTCAGCGTGTGCTGGATGGGCAGGCATGATGCTTTCATCCTGCTGCCTGCTGGCATTCAGTCGGACAGCCGGTCCCGTGAGGTGACTATCTGACATCTTCAGATGTTTCCCCAGTTAGCGCCTCTCAGCTCTCCAGCTACAGTAACTCCCTGCAGGTAACTAATCATGCTTTCAAGGACTCCATGTCCCCTTGACTACCCTTGGAGATGGTCTACTCTCTGAAAGCTATCTCTAAGCTGAAAGGATGTATATCTTATGTAGATCTGAAAGGAGTGGACAGCTAATAAGAGCCAGGATGATAGTAGCGCAACCCCATCTCCCAAACAGTGTCTTATCCATGTGTATTCTCCAGAGGGTTCTTCCTCATATCTGTCCTAACTTCCATGGGTTCTCTTGGACTTCACATCTATGTGGTCTCTCAAAAGAGTTCTTCAATTCTCTTCACACTAAGAAAAGAGGGTTCCTCAAGGGTTCTTTGGGAAGGGTGATGGTTCTATGTGAACCATAATGACTCAAATAACCCTTTGAGCCCTTCAATAGTTATTTTAACAATATAATATATCTAACCAGAAGAGAAAAAAAAAACGTATTGATCTTAAAAAGGAACTACAAAGAACCTTTGGTATTGCGAAAAGTTCTTTATACAAACATTCTCCATAAAGGTTCTACAAAGAACCATAAAAAAGGGTTATACTATCCCCCAAAAGGGTTGTAACCATAGCGGAACCCTTTTTACGTATATAGTTATTTATAGAACCTTAGGAAAGGGTTCTTTATAGCACCATACAAGTTTAATTTAGAACCTTATGAGCAAGGTTCTATATAGCACCAAAAAGGGATCAGCTATGGTTTCTTTTCAGTGTGTAGTAACCTCCCTGCGTTTTCTATAGGGTGCCTCATGGCATGGCATGCCTGTCTCTCTCCCCTTCTTCTGCCTGTTTTACAGGGCTGACTACCGACCTCATTGCTTCTTTGGGTTCTATGGGGTCTGGGCCCCTCATTCTCACCCTTCTAGATTATCTTGGTCTTCACATATTCCATGTGGATTCTTCAGAGGGTTCTTTATCACTCTACCCTTCTCCTGTAGGTTTTGCAGGGTTGAGACTTTCCATCTTCTTGCTCCTCTGGGTTCTCTGTAAGTCTCTCTGTCTCTCTGCATTTTAACCATCAATAATAGATTGAAGTTCTCTCCCCTGGTCTATCTCAGAGTGTGTACACTTTCATGTTCGTGTGCATCAAAGTACAGCCAGAGCAAACAGAGACATTTAATTGCACTTTTTTATCAGTTGTGGAGTAAGTTTTCCTATAGATACATACATTGGACATACTGTATTCTCTGATTTGGTAAATCATGGGAACATGAAATGGCTCTTAAACTCATCATGTGTGTAATATGTCAAACATGCTGCATGAATCATACATAGTGCAGATGAATCATACACACAACATACATAAAACATACATCCATACTCCATGACATCATGGCACACAACATACATAAAACATACATCCATACTGCATGACATCATGTCTGAAAGAAGAACTGACAGTGTGATGTAAATAATGAATTATATTTTGTTATACCTATAGAGCTGGTATCAGATATCTACAGTAATACTTAGGAACATGTTGCGTAAATGCCTATTTCCATTCCAAGTTGCCTTATGGACTTCATGAAGTTCTAAGTACTTTGCAGAAGTTACACGGTCATTCTAAAACGTGTATCCTCCATCCTCTCGACCTCAAAGAGGGAGAGGGAGAAGGAGTAAGAGAGAAGGTTTGGGAGGGATAGATCAGTTATCTCAGTGATTTAGGGACTTAAACTCTCCACCACTGACACTGCCATAATCACTTTTTTTTATGAGACTCTACAGTAATTCTCTCTCTATATAACCTTACAGAGGTTAACACCCTGGATGGGAGACCAAAGGGGCACTGTAGATAGATCAATTCTCCAGTAGAAGGTGCTTCTCAACCTATTGTTTTTTTCTGATAGCGGACATAACGTTGAAGATCTGACATTATTTTAAAAGTACAAATTCAACATATT